TTTATCTTTAAATACAAGAATTTTTTAATAATCCGATGTGATAGTTTCTTTAGCATATGTATAGTTCACAACTAAATAAGATAAGACTCGGTAGAGATGTGCAAAATTGAAACTATGTATTTATTTTTGAAAATTAGACTTAGAAATGACAACTTCTGAGAACCAATTATACAATTACGACATTAAATATAAAATCTTGTTGAACAATGCTACCTAATTACACTTTCAACAGCATTTACCTTTTTTTATTAAACAAATGAAAATATTATTGATTTTTTCCTTGTAAATGCGGCAAGATGGATGATATACTAAAATTTCTATAAAATTAATATATTAAAATAATCTTGATATTTATCATATTTTGTTTACGCTATATATTCAGTAATATGTTGCGGCACAGGAATGTTGTAAAATTATGTAGTTTTACAAAACCTGACAGAAAAGTAAACTACTTAAGTACATCTTAATGTCAGGACATCTTAATAAAATATCATATTTTAAATATAACATTTATATTAGAATAAATTAATAATATTATATTCAAAAAACTATTGTTATTTTAGCCCAATGGCAATATACTTAATCAAATAATTATTCAATTAATTTCTTATGTCATTTGCATCTTTATGATCATTTTTATGAGAATTATTCAATCTTATGATATATTTAATTCAATTGTTCAAACAGTCAGTTTTCTGAGATTATTTACGATTTTGCTAGTGAACATTCATATACATAATAAATAAATATTTCTAAGTGTTAATTTTCAATTGTTACTTTAACATGTACAATGCAGTAATATTACAGTCAATGTTATTTCAATCATATTAATTGAACTAAATATTCCTTTATCTTATTTCGCCCATATCGACGGTTATAACATTATAACATCTCGGTTTATGTCTATATTATATAATTTTACTTGATATACGTATTTCAAACTTCTTAATTAAATTCATTACATTATTTCAGTAAAGCTTTAATTTATAAGAAGCTATTACACTTATGAATAACTGAAGATATACCTCGTCATATTAAATAACATGCATTGCATGAGTTTTTAATGGCTCTTGATTTCAAGAAAATCATAAGCAATTTTGAAATTAAAGTATATATTACAAAAAAGAACTACTCACAAATATTTGCACACAGGGTTATCAAATATATATATATATATATATATATATACATATTAAAAAATTTAGAAGAATTCAGATATTTAATGTAACGAAGTAAAACAGTATATGGCAAAGTTGCTTATGAGATCTGAAGAGATAGATTTACTTAAAAGACTATTACGATTCTGACTCTTTCGCGTGTAAGACCTACAAAGTGCTCAATATTAAATAGTTTTGTTATATAAAAATAAATAATCGTAAAATCAATAATTAACTAAATATTTTACGTACACTATATTAAAATAATATATTATTAACTAGAATTTTACATTTTTCTAGCATAAATATGTATAACTAATATTTAAAGTGAGTAACTAAAAACATCTAACAATAAATATTTTTGGACGCTCATATTTCTCAATGCATACATGCATCAAATAATTTACAAATATTTCAATATACTAATTATTACTTTCACACTCCAAGCAGAATCAAAATATATACACACATTGCATTTTCAAAATTAGAAATACTGACAAAATAAGATTTGTATTCGATCTCAAAAACAACTAATATACTTTTATTAATTATATTTATATTTATATCATATTGACTAGATATGAAATTACCATTTCGCAAAATCACTTGCGATTTAAAAAATTATTTTATATATAAGTGAAGGAATATATGGCAACAAAAACTTTATTTAGACTTTTACAGCTAAGTTCCATTGGTAAAGCACATATTTGTACATCATACATATATACACACATACACACGGCAGATATATATATATATATATATATATATATATATATATATATATATATATAGTAAAATCCGGATATAACAACTCCACTTATATACTTCGAATTCGTTTAAAGTAGTGGACAAACAGGAATCGGTTTAGTATACACTTATATACTTACAGTATCAATTTTGTAAATATGAACATACTTTACTAGACAAAGTTACGAAAGTTTCGAGACTATGACGCCAATTCATAGACCTTATACTACATGAACTGCTAGTTGAGCAAAAATAAGTGCTCAAATATAGAAGGGACTGTAACGTCACTTCCTGAGCGAACATCACCGACAATCGCGGACCTCTCCCGATTGATTAAATATCTGTGTTTTATTTTAATAATATAATGGCAATTGTGATGGCTGATAATTTGTAAGAAATGATATTAATAATATTTCCCTGTGAAATATTATTAACATTCACAGTTCTTCTGTGTTTGAGCACTATAAACAACGGAAAACATATGAGGACTAGTAGTCCATGTAGTGTAATGTCCATGGACCAATTCCATAAACGTAATTATGTCAACTCTATAATACGCTCCTTTCTTCATATGAATAGGTAGTAGGGCTATGTATTTACTGCGCTGTCAGGCAAAAACGTTAAAAAAATGTTATCATAACTGCATATTTCTGATATGCATTCATAACACATAAGTTCGACATAATAGCATTTTGATAATTGTTACTACCAATTTACTTATACGAAGAAAGGAGCGTAAAATAGCGTGGTCATTACAACGCCCTGTTACGGTCTATTTTATCTTATTTTATCGGAGAATTGGCCCCTTTATTTTTTCACACCATATATGATAATTTAAATTATGCGTTATGAAATTTATGTGAATATATGAATTAATAAATCATGATATGTATTAATCGGTCAATCTTTTCATTACCATTGTTAAAATGATATTAATCTGTATATCAAAGTTCAATAAATTATGTATTTATAATATGATAACAAAACATAATTTGAATTTATACTGATAATGAACTGAATAATATCGAAACACACGTAACTTTTATATTATTTAATATATCAACGAAGTGCAAAGTGTGTTCAAATTTAAGAATTAATATTACATCCACTCATAATATATATTTATATATATATATATATATATATATATATATATATGAGAATTTATATGTTTGCAAATTACAGCTAATCGATATAGCCAACTTTAATCAGCAACTTAGTTTAAATCAAATATTTCACTATGTATTTGCATATACGTTTACTTATTCACACTGATTGCATTAATTTTTATGCTTATAAAAATTTATTTTGTTTGGTATATGTTTACACCAAAATTATACGTAAATACGTATTTTATATTAAAAGCAGTTGAATTCAAGGATGTAAGTTTGTAATATTATTAAAAAAATTTCATGTTATTTAATTTATTTTAGATCATTGCGAAGACGGGGTGGTATTCACGGTTGGCAGATTTTCATAAAAGAAAATGTTAAAGAATCCTGATGTATATATTTGTATAATATATAGATGTATATCAACTATAACAAATAATGTACATATTTTGATTTTATCTATTACATACATATTTATATTGTAGACATTTCAATGGTACTGTAAATGCTGGCACTGAATTTCAAGATGTTATTTACTAATCAATATCTATCTGTACATAGAAATAAACTACCTTTTGTGAAAACATGATCAATTAAGATAAACTTTTTCAATACACTTTAATTATGACATATAATATTGAATTTCATATTCAATTGAATTTGTTTTTGTAGCAGTGCTAGCAATTAGAGTTGGAACTTTAACAGATACCAGCATTAACAGACATTTAACTTCTTTATAAACAACACGTGATAGCCTCAACTCAGCATATTTTTTGCATAAATATCCGCTTTTATAACATATAAATTTTATTTCAATTTATCGATTCGGTCTAAGCATAATTGATATAGTCAGAAAATTTGCATGTTCGAGTTCATCTATTCTTTGATAAAATTCAAATTTGCATTTCTAATTTCTTTTACATTTCTCAAATATCAACGATCTAACATAAGAAATTTGTAATATAAGCTTCTCATCAAAAGATTAGATCTTACCAAATCGACAAATTGTAAAAAAATTCAGTGAAATAGAGATTAAACAATATGGAAATTTTATCTTTTCAAGTATTATGGTCTTGAGTATTAAAATAAACCAAATGTTTATTCCCTTTTCGCTTATTTAATTATCTTGTCAGATGTCATAAATAATACCATCACAGAAAAGATTGAACAAGTTTCTAAATATTTATGTTCAAAGTATATGATTTTTTTTTCAATCATATTAAGAGATGTACGGACAAAATGACACAGTATTTTCTTTTTTCAGTCTCATGCGTTTTTAATCATCTTAGATTAATTTACTACCGGTAATATAATTTTTACTAATAAAATATGGACAATGATAAGATATTTATTAAGAAAAAATGCAACTAATTACAAAATCAATTTTGACCATATAGTACGAACAGATTGGTATGAGGTAAAGGCATACAGAGATACATTTTTTTAAGAAAACAGGTCACAAATAAATCGTTTAGTCCTTTTTGCGACCTCAGCACATAATGCATGTGTCTAAGGTCTTAAATCAAACATAGTAACCAGCCTTCGTCGGGTAACGTGAAAAAATATCATTGTAATTAATGCAAAAGCTTATTTTTATCGGTAGTAGTAAGTTTAGTAGTAGGTCGGTAGTAGTAGAGTTTCAGTTAAAAGCCAATATTTGACAGTTTCAAAGGTGATTTCATGATTCTGCAGTTCTTTGTCATTTTGTCCGAAAGTGAACAAAAATGAATAAACAATTAAAATTTTAATGGAAATAACAACAAATAATAAGTCAAAAAAAAAACAACAAAATTACAAACTTTTGAAGTCACGATACACGTTGAAACTGACTGCTTCGACAAGACTGTGACAATGACGTTCAATATCTAAACTATAAATATACCAAATTTTATAAAATATTAGATGATTGGTTCAACAATTACAAATGATACCACAATTAAATGCATAAATAAGTCTTCAAAGTTGTTCAACCTTACCTATAAATTTTATTTACTACATTAGCTAGTATCCAATCTAAAACCTGTAGTATTTATGCATATGCTTCGCTAAGTCCGTCGAAGAAGTACTCTAAGTTCCCATTGCTTGCAGCATGACTCACCACAAGTCCTTCCAATTCTTGATCCACATTCCTCGCTACTTCGATGATGTTTCTTGAAATTTCTAAAACATCGTCACTTTTACTGACGTCATCATCAAAGGTAGGATCTGGACCAAGGATGGTTTCAATTAGATCGTCGCATTGTGCAGTACTTCGATACTGGCTGTGAAATGTGGCCAGGATCTCACGAATCCTCGCAATGATCTGTTCTACTCAGGCATTCGATTCCTGAAAAATAATATCATTGTCACATACACTTATAGAGGAGAGCGGGGATTAAAGGTCCGCGATTAAAAAGGTCCACGACCATTATGTTAATATTAAATTTTCAATGATAGTAATGAAGTAGAAGGCAAAACATATTTAAACAGCCATCGCCTTAAACCGCCGACGTTAGTACCGTGAGATAATCGGCCACATTGTCAATTTTTAATAAAAGTATTTTTACGTCATTATTAACTTCCCGAAGGACAAGTTTATGTTTTCATCAAAAAATCCGATTCGCTAATTTTATGTTTTCTCGGCGTTTCAAGCCATTCTGAATCGAATGAGACCAAATTTGGAAAAAGTATGTGTCTGTGTGTGTGTGTGTGTATGTGAAAGGATTTTTTGCCGTAAATTGATGTTTTCTCGAAAACAGCTGGGCCAATTTCAAAAATTTAAAAGCCGTTCGATGTATCTCGACGAGGACTATCGTTTGTCAGCTTTGTGGGACGATCGGCCGAGACGTTTCTTTATAAATAGCAGAAAAGTGAAAAAAATTTCGTCTACGTTTTAGCCCGCAATTCTGAACCGATTAAGAAAATTCAAAAACCGTTCGAAAGATATTGATTGGTAATCGTGCTGATTAGTTTTTGGTAAAGATTGGCCGGGCATGTAGTTTTCTTGTAATAAAGTGTTAAAAAAATTTTTTTCGACGATTTTTGTTATTATTTTTTTGACGGTAGATACTATAGTCTTCTAGATCATACTAAAATATTACGGCCCTACGATAGGTTAATTGGTTTAAGTTTGAAAATTTGTCAAAGTTTGCAAAAATTGGTATCGTTTTTTTGGCATTTGTCAAAATTAGACCTTTCTTCGACGTTTTCTCAAAAACGCCTGAACTGATTTCAGAAATTTAAAAACCTTTTGATGTATTTCGATGAGGACTCTCGTTTGTCAGTTTTGTGGGACGATCGGCCGAGCCGTTTCTTTGGAATTTGGAAAAAAGTGTCAAACTTTTCGTCCACATTTAAGCTCATCCTACCGAACCGATTTCAAAAAATCAAAAACTTTTCGAAAGATATTAGTTGGGAATGGTACTGATTAGTTTTAGGTGAAAATCTACCGAGCCATTTTCTTGTAATTAACTGTTGAAAAAAAAATTTAAGCCGATTTTTATGGATTTTTTTTAGCAATATATATCATGGTCTTATAGAACTTACTGTAATATTACGGCCTTACGACAAGTAGTTTAATTTTAAAAATTCATCAAAGTTTGAAAAAATGAGTAGTTTTTTTGACGTTTGTTAAAATTGAAATTAGATGATTCACTCACTTGATATAACGATAGAGTATTTGGTCTTAATGAACATACTAAATTATTAAATTCCTACAAAAACTGGTTCAATTATAAAAAATATTGATTTGTGAAAATTTGCTTTTATAAAATACTCCGAGTTAACGTGTTTGTTCGTTTTTAATTATTTGTAATAAATACACTCGGAATACTTTTAATCACTCATAAATTAATTTATATTTTATTAATTAAGTCAATTATTTACACATATCGGGAAGTTCATGTAACTTGCCTCAAGGCTAAATATCAAACCAACTAGTTTTTTTTTTGTTTTAAGCACTCTTGGTGAGTTTACGATTTACGACTGAAAATAATTTTTAAGTAAAAGTTATTTAATATTTACAATATGTGTTATTTTTGTTGGTGGAAAAATGACAAAATAAACCAAATGTATAAAAAAAAAAAAAAATAAAAAGTAAAATAAGTTAAAGACAATTTGAGATAAGTTAAATTAATAATTAATTAATTATTAATAATTAATAAATTAATAGTTATTCCAAATCTAATCATGAATTCTTCTGAGAAAGTTTCATATTAAATCACATTATATTAAATTTTTACGAATTTTACTTTGATAATTCAATCCAGAATGGTTTTTAATATAAAAAGAAAATTAAAATTCAATCATGAAGACCTTAGAATATATAAATAATTCAATTGAGAGATAATTATAATGCTAAACAACATATTTAAATTCTTTTCAATTCTTAGTCAAAATTTGTATTTTTCACTTATTTGAAAACATATTAAAAACTAGTTACCTTGAGATTATCAAAATAGTGCATGATCTGTTCATAGTCCATGTCAAGATCATCCAATCCAAGACTCTCACCAGGATTCTCAATGCCATTACTATCTTGAGAATCTAATGTATTATCTGCAAATATGTAAAATTTTAATATAAATAAAATTAAATATTTTACAAATAAAATCTAAAAGTAATTATAAGTGGAATTTTGCCATTAATTTAAATTGAATGAAATTCCTGATATTTATAAATAATTGACTCTAAATTCAATATATTAATTTAGGAGTGATTTATAAGTAGAGCGCATGTAGAGCGTGATAATGTGAGAAATGATGTGATGGGATTTCCAAATGTTCAAATAGTTTTTGAAAGTTCAAAATCGATTGAGGATTTTTGGATAAAATATGGATGAAAAATTTTGCGCTTTACCGCTAATTCTAAAGAATTCTGGTTGTATTAGAAAACTAAGCCACGCGAGAGTGCTTATCAAGTTTCACCTTTTGGCTTTTAATTTTTTTAAATTAGTTCTGCCGTTTTTGTAAATCGTTGTTTGTTGGTTTAAAAATATCTCATGTAAAAAAGCGCTGCTCATTTTTTTAACCATAATAATTATTTTCAATTAAAAGACCATGATCTCTAACGTTTAAAGAATTTATAAAGGTAAACTGGTGGACAGATAAATTGGAGAATATGTAAAATGGTAGACAGGATAACTGGTAGATAGACGAATATAGAGACAAATAAACAAGTTGACAGGTTAATTGGTAGACAATTAGAACGGGATGACAGGTAAATTGGAAAGCAGGTAAATTGGTTGACTATTAAAATGGTGTATTGATAACAAGTCGATAGGTAAATTGGCAGACAGATGAATTGATTGACAGTTGAAATGGCAGACAAGTAATTTGACGAAAAGGTAATTTGTTGGATAGCTGGTGGTCAGGTAAATTGGAGAATACTCGTATGTAAAATGGTAGACAGCACAACTGGTAGATAGACAAATTACAAGACGGATAAACAGGTTGACAGATAAATTGGTAGACATGTGAAACGGGTGGATAAGTAAATAGGTTGACAGGTAAATTGATAATTCGGTAAAATGGTAGATTGATTAACAAGTTTATAGGTAAATTCTTAGACAAATTGTTGAACAGTTAAATTGTTGAACAGATAGTAGTAACGTTAAACTGAATGTAACAAATACACATCTTTGTTCAACTTTTTAATATAAACTAAATCACGGCAAAGCGTGAAAGGGGACAGCTAGTTAAAAATAAATTTCTTTCTAACCGTTGTTGGAAAACATTGGATTCCCCACAATAGTAGCTCTCTTTACTGAATTCCTTGGCATAGCTACAGGGTTGACTTCATCACTTTCTATGAATTGCATAGAACCATCTTGCTGGCTTTGAGATGATGAATCGTCAACAATCATTGGTGTGTGTTCAGCAGGTCTTGATAATTCTCCCAGACCTAAAAAAATAACATCGAAGACATTAAAAACTATAAAAGGTTCTATTGTGTTTGATTTATCTATTATATATGAATTATTCTGTTATATTTACTAAAATATGATATTTTATTGATAATCGGTTTCTTGGATTGGATATTGAAGTAATTACCTATGCCTGAATCCAGCATGATTTGCTCGGGTTCTATATGTGATGTTTCGGTTTTTGGCTTTGGTAAATTTCTGTCAACTTTTAAAATATCTTCATCAAATTCGAATGCATTTTTCTGCTTCAACAGCTCGTCGAATCTGTTAGTTGCATCACCTAAAACAAGCATGAAATAATAAATAATGTAATAAACTTAAAATAAATATTAATTATACTCTATCAGAAAATGAAATTAAAACAAAAACTATAAAAAATGTCAATATTGTACCTTACCTCTTATCGTTCGATAAGAGTAATTTCTTGAATATTATAAATAAAAAAATCAAATAAATCCATTCTTGTTAAATAATGAAATGTATAAAACAAACCTGGTTTTACATTATCCTCATTTGACGCGTTATTTCGATTAATATGGGCGTGATTTGCATTTTGGTTTTGATGATTTGAGGACTGATTATTCATGTTTCGGTGTTTATGATGATGCCTGCGTGGTGGTGCTACTGTTTCTGGCAACATCTATATAAATATTTATATCGCTTATTATTTGTATTAACTAAGTAAATGATTAATATCAACCTCAAATGCATTATGTTTGCAAAATGAATTATTTTTTGTATTTTGTATTTTTGTCAATTAGTGCAAAAAGTGAAAATATTACAGATAAACAAAAGTATGTTCAAACATAGATTTGGAAGATCACAAGACCATTTTTTTAAGACTTTCGACAGGCTATGAGACCAATTCTCTGATAAAATAGACCGTGCGCTCCTTTCTTCATATAAATTGGTAGTAAAAACTGTCAAAATGCTATATGTTTGCTGCATAGACCATATACATATATATTATGTATTGCAAGTTCTATGCTTTGCTGCGCGTTCAGGCATTTTGCACATATTAACTTAACGTATGTTTTATGACCGTAAATGCACATCAGAAAGGTGAAGTTTGTGCGTTTTCTAGGTTAGGTTTATATCTAAAACGCCTGTCTGCACAGCAAATTCATACCATTTTGACAGTTTTTAGTTCCAATTTTTATGAAGAAAGGAGCTATAACAACGCTATGTCACGGTCTATCTTTGTCCTCTAAGATATCGCAAAATGATCAGATTTTGGTGGTGTTGGAATTTATTATTACAAGATGTGTAGAGTTAAATCACTTACATCTATAAGTTTTTTGTTTCCATTAACTTTCTATATTGATAAATAAGATGCACTAAAAATATCTATTACAGTTACTTACTCTCTTATTTTGGTATCAGATTTTGGTGGTGTTGAAATTTATTATTACAAGATGTGTAGAGTTAAATCACTTACATCTATAAGTTTTTTGTTTCCATTAACTTTCTATATTGATAAATAAGATGCACTAAAAATATCTATTACAGTTACTTACTCTCTTATTTTCACCTCTCAAAATATTTCTATGTGGTGGTACTGGTGGACGATATTCATCATGTGCGTTCTTATTGCGATGATCCACCGCCATTTGGAGATGATGATTAGTAATAGGTTGATGATGGTGATTATCATTCATCTGGTGATGACTGATTCTATGGTGATTGTTGACCATTCCGTTATTCATGTGGTGATGATGGCGCTGAGGTATACCATGAGGAGGTAGAGATGGAGCTTCAGGGCTGCAAAATGTTTTACATCAATGGAAAACTAATCAATAAAAATCGATCAATAAATGATAACAATTGTTTTAAATATTTTCAAATAAATTATTATAAATACTATGAATTTTATATTCCATATTTTCAATTGCGATAAGCTTATTGCACAAAACACTTGAGTATGTTTACAAGAGTTTATAAAAATAATTGATTCAAAGAATAAAATTGCGGGGTTAATTTTACTTTTTACTTATTAGATGTTCACTTATTAGTATTAGTGAAAGAGGCAGCTAACAAAAAATGTCTGGATGGTTTACCCACTGCAAAGCATGCCACATATAAATTTTCATGTGGAGAATTCAGGTTTTAATACTCAATCATTTCATTTAATATTAATATATTTGTACAATTGGAAAATCCTGCGAATCAGTATGCAATAATCGATCAATATTTTGACGCATCTAGTTTTATCTATATAACCTTCCCTTCGCCAATATCTAAGAATTGTATTGAAAATGTTACAGCGAATATCGCGGATGAATTTAATCTTTTCCACAAACTCAAACAAATCTTGATCAAAATTCAGTGACAAAAGTTCATAAAAAGCAGATAAATGAACAAATATCGAGCTAGTTGAATAAATAAATTATTGTACAACTATAAAATGACTGCTATTAAATAAAGATTTGTGTGAATCCGCATTATTAACTTCTCGTGGGGTAAGTTATGGTAATCGCAAAAAATCACATTCACACAAAACACGCACTCATACACACATTCATTTTTCGTAAGATATACCAAAATGTTCAGAAGGTCTTGAAACGTAAAGATATGCAAAAAATTTCAATTTCGATTTTTTGCGATTACTATAACTTACCTTAAGGAAAGCTAAATATATAATAAAATTATAGAATAATTATACATTAATATTATATTATATCATATAAGAACTAGAATTCGGCAATCTTTGTTTATATTTATTAAGATTATTTTAAATATATACTTACAGCAATCTGCCCACTCCATGGGGAGGAACGGGAGGTCCAACATCGTTGCTGTAATATAAAACATTTGTAAAATTAATAATTATGAATATGTAAAAAATAGGTAGAATTAAAAGTCATATAAAATAAGTGACACATTACAAGTCAGACTCGAACTAATTAACTGAACTACGTATAATGCTTAAACTTTGAAACTAAAATAAAAACTATGCACAATTACATATAGTACATATAGTTAAAACTAAAATTTTCAATACCTCGAATGTCTAATTGGCGGCTTGATACGATCTTTTTTGCAATAAGTTGTAGAATCAATGGCTCTAGGTTGTTGTCCAGATTGATTGTTCATAGAGTCCCCAGGTTCGCAATAATTAATTGACATGGGGTTATCAATTATTCGCATATCAACGTTGTTACCATTCACGTGATCATCCCTAAAAAATGTGAAGAATATAAAATCAAGAATCATATTAAAATATATAGAAATTATTTCTAAAAATTCACAGGAGATATTTCAAATTAAAAAGACAGTTTGTTGATTGTTGATCGCTGACATTTTGAAAAAAAGTAATTTAATTTCCTCATTCCATCATAAATTTTGAACATCGATTGTAAATGAAAACAAGTCATATGCATTCATAAGACTTCAAGTCACATACATAATTTGGATAAACCTGCTCCTGTGAAAACATTTGCAACTTGATACAATTATTTTGAAATAGAGAAAATTTTAAATAAATATTGTCTTAATTTATTACTAACATTAAAATTCGATCCATTAAAATAAAAATTTCTTCGTTGCAGTAAATACAAAATGTTAAACATCTTTGTGGATTTTAAAAACAATTTATTTACTATCTACATGTTTTCTACATTGAATTCTAAAATAAAACAATATCTAGATATAATTTATGATTTAGCTTGCTATCAACATTCAAAACAATGTAGTAATAACACAGGAAAACTCTATCGCAGTCATATAATATAGAATGCTAAGCAGGTTTTAGTTTCAATTAAATCAATTTTCAACTCGGTTTGATTGTTCAGTAGTTTTCTTTAAATGATTATTAACAAAAACAATGAAAAAAATTAAGTTACTAATGCAAAATAAGAGAACACTTAACCCACCTAGTCATCAAATGGCCAGACTCCCTATCGTCCATAGTTGCACGTCCGAGCCAAACCCAATCATGTGCGTTTGAACAATCCCGATTATTTTCTGTAATTCCAACGCCGTTGGCTAGCCTGTTTCCATTCCCGTTGGCGTTGGCACCACTTGAGCGACGTGTCACAGGAGTAACAGTAACGCCTCCACCCACATGTGCAGGCTTCAAACGAGAAGCGTAGACCACGCAAGATACCACGAAGACAACTGTCAAAAAAAAGTGGTACATGGCTATAAATATATCATTCTATTGGGTTGTTCGGAAACTAACTTCGTTTTTCATACACATTTTGAAACGTAATTTTCGTACAATAAACAAATACTTTAATAAATTTTGTACTAGCTGTTTTGATCGAACATCTTTTATCATATTTCTGGTATTAGCATAATTTCGAGGTCATAAATTTTTTGGTAGTTATTGGCAAAAAACTGATGAAAGTGCTTTTCGAAATCTTGATTTGAGGTAACGGTTTTACCGCCAAAAATTTTTTTTAGTGACCGGAACAAATAATGGTTTGATGATGACAGGCCTGGAAAATGTGATGAATGTGGAATTAGGTCCCATTCAAGCTGTAAAAATGTTTGGCGATTGACCAAACTTATGTGTGTCTTGCGTCGTATTGATGCAATACTATACCTTGCTTGCGGGTTAATTCTGACCTTTTCTATTGAAGTACATCGTTTAGTTTATCTAGATGATGACATAAGGCATCCGAATTAATAGTTATGTTATCCTGGAAAAACTGAAAAACGAACAACTACTTTAAAATTTCGCCAAACATACTGCATCACCTTTTTCTGGCAAATTTCAGCTTTGCAACTGTTTTAAGCAGGTTCTTCTTTTGTGTTTCATGGGCAAATGCATGTATTGTATTCTTTACATCCCATTTGAATTTGCTAATGGCAATTTGCTTCAAAACCTGATACATTAAGCTTCGAAAAAAATCCCAGACCTTTTAAGTGATCATAAACTGTTAAATTTGATAAATTTAAATTCAATGGGATTTCATGTATTGTTTTTCGCTGGTTTGCATCAACTAATGCCTTTCTCGCGTTTTATCAGCTTCAACCATACTTTTTGGACGTGGTGCATCTTGCACATCAAAATACCAGAAATAAAATTTAGCAAACCAGTTTTGGCACCGTCGTAATATCAACACGTCATTTCCATACACATCGGCCAATTACATTTGGACTTAAACAGCATTTTCACCTAAAGAGTAAAATATGTCGAAATTGCTGCTTAACCCTCCGTCGGTCGGCGTGGTCTGGCCAGACTTTTTTCGACTTCAATTAAAAAAAAAATACTTCTAGTAATCCTATCGACTTGAAATTTCTTGACTTTTTCTAAAATTTCATTAGCTGTCGATCAATGAAAAAATCAGGACGAAAAAATGTACAGAAGGATAATTATGAGGATATTAACTTTTTTATACTTCGAGCGGTCGGAAAGGTCCGTCTAGACCACCCATACATTTTGTATGAAATATACGCTTCTTGATATATGTAAACCAGTATTTTGTCTTTTTTCATGGTATTTTCTATTCAAACTGCGTTGTTTATATTCTTTGCTATGTGTTCTAACATGAATGTTAGTATTTTCATGACGAGAGTTCCTTGAAAACCTACCAAACTTATTGGTAATCGCAAACACTGAAAATCGGATGAGTAATGCAAACATTCATTTCAAAGGCGCCGAAAAAGAATAAACATTGTTTTTCATTGATTTAAAACAGAAAAATTAATTAAAAAAACAACGATTTTTTTTATATTTCTTGATTTTTTTATATAATCGTTAATACATAAGACACCAAAAACTCATTTATCCCACATAAATGCATGTAAAATGAATGGTGGTCCAGCCAGACCTTTCCGACCGTTCGAAGGTGAAAAAATATCCGACCGACGGAGGGTTAATTCTTTCTGTATTCAAAGAGGCATCCTCCAAAAACTATTGCGTGTAATTTATTATAATTTATTACACACAAACACAAATATAATAATTATACGCTCAAGTGTAATGTTGAGTTCAAAAAAATATAGTTAAATCCACTGTGACAAAAAACGAAGTGACTTTCCGAACAACCTTATATATACATATATATACTAGCAAACCCGACGAACTCCGTTTCGCCACCAGATGGTTTCGTGAGAAAGATGAAGAAATTTTTTGTTTGTTTTATATTTGAAAAGGAAAAAATTGATTTTATTATACAACAGTAACGAATTCATTTCGATTACAAAAATGAAGTGTTTTTTAGTTGAACTTCTCTAAGTAAATTAAAGTGAAACCGCAAAATATCCGTTTCATTGAAGTGCTCTTTGGTAAACCACATTTTTTGTTTTTTTGTCTGACGTTAACACAAACAAAGCGGATGGTTTTCCAATTTGTGAACAGGCAACGTATAACTATTTGAAATTTATCCCGCGAAAACTAAGCGATTGGCCTTGCGACTTGTTATTGCGAACGCAAGGCGAACTGGAAATTGCAATCGTTTGAAGTCAAACGGAAGACCAGTCGGAATCATTGGTATGTCACCAAATCGCCAGCAATTTTTGATTGAATGGTGAAATTCAGTGCGTGTACATCATTATTCTTTGTGGCAAGAATTGCTCGTTGACTTAACCAAGCATAATTCTGATAATTCTCACTAATGTCATTACTCAAATTTTTAATTACGGTGCATGAAGTTCCAGCAAATTGCATTAGGACACGATGCCATGCACCACTAATTTTCTTAGCTATAAACCTCGCGGAGTCCGAGTCCTTTCCAACGAATGCAAAATTGTCGAAATCGGTTCGTGCGTTCTGGAGTTATTTCGTCAGGAAGGAAAACCCGACTTATTTATATATATATATATATATATATATATATATATATAAAAGATAATCTATTTGAAATTATTTAAAATAATTGTTGATTATTTTTATTACTCGAATTTTTAATTACGGTGCATGAAGTTCCAGCAATTTGCATTAGGGCACGATGCCATGCACAACTAATTTTCTTAGCTATAACCCTTGCGGAGCCCGAGACCTTTCCAACGAATGCAAAATTGTCGAAATCGGTTCGTGCGTTCTGAAGTTATTTCGTCAGGAAGGAAAACCCGACTTATTTTTATATATATAGAAGATATATATATATATATATATATATATATAAACATATATATATATATATATACATATATATATATATACATATATATATATATTATAGAATTTTATGATATGAGTGGAACGAATATTAATTGTTTAATATGAACAAAACAGCACTCAGATTTGTTTAACACAACTTCATTTTATGATTACAGACGTTTCGAGACCATGGTGTGTCTCATCTTCAGTGTAATTTCAAAAACAGTTACTTATATACTACACATTCTTTAATAATTTATTTAAATTTCATTTAATTTTTGATATACAAAAAACACCAACTATTCCTTGCAATGCTTGACACAGTACTAAAGAAACATATAACACTTACAGAAATATTCTAAACAAATTTGAAGTACTTATCTAGATGGAGACAGAATAGGTATCATTATAATGTAAACAAAAGGAGTGCTGTCGCATACAAAAATCGATAAAAATGAAAAAACAAATTAATTTATTGAAAAGAATAAGATAAATGAAAAATTTTTATAAATTATTAATGATGTTTATATAAGTGTCATGTAAAATATTTGTGTCGGTTCTTAGATTTATGCTATTGTTAGTCCGAACTATTAACATTGATTCTGCCATGCTCCGTTTAAATAAGTCTTTCTCATGGAATAAAATTTGGGGATTGTCAAAATCAAACTTATGGTTGTTGATATTAGCATGATCCACAAGTGTACTTTTAAATTTTTTGTTATCTATTTTTTCACATTGTAATTCATGTTACCTGAGTCTCTTTTCTAAGTTCTGGCAGGTCTGGCCAATATAAGAGCAGTTACAATCCAAACAATTTACTTTATAAACTATATCTTTCTTTTTTGTTAATGGAGTTTCATCTTTAATTTTGGAATATAAAAATTTTAATTGTTTTAATGAAGAAAAAGTAATACGAATATTGTGTTTTTTGAAAAGTCTTTTTGATAATTGGTTAAAATTATTGTCAAGATATGGAAAATTAATGAAAAAAGTTTTTTCAGGAACACTTGTTTTGCCAGGCTCTTCCGGTTTCTTATCAAAAGGTTCAAGTAATTTTGCGACTCTATTTTTATTAATTGGACAAATTAACTTATATGGAAAATTATTGCCAAGTAGGATCGTTTTAACTAATTTTATGTTTGTATCATAAAACAGAGGATCAGATAATAAAATAGCGTGATCTACAAGATTTAGAATGGTAGAAATTTTTATATTGAGAGGAACATGCGAATTAAAATTAATGTATCTCCCGGACCAACTATCTTTTCTGTACCAGTCTGTATAACATACACCGCCTCTATTAATGAGTTTTACGTCAAGAAAATGTAACGTCGAATCATTTTCAAGTTCCTGAGTGAATTGTAAAAAAGAATTGTACTCATTGAATTTGTTGAAAACATTATCTATATCTTTTTTATTAAGTAATATTAATGTGTCATCGACATATCTGAAATAAACCATAGGTTCTTGACGTAAAACTCATTAATAGAGGCGGTGTATGTTATACAGACTGGTACAGAAAAGATAGTTGGTCCGGGGATACATTAATTTTAATTCGCATGTTCCTCTCAATATAAAAATTTCTACCATTCTAAATCTTGTAGATCACGCTATTTTAATATCTGATCCTCTGTTTTATGATACAAACATAAAATTAGTTAGAAGGATCCTACTTGGCAATAATTTTCCATATAAGTTAATTTGTCCAATTATTAAAAATAGAGTCGCAAAATTACTTGAACCTTTTGATAAGAAACCGGAAGAGCCTGGCAAAACAAGTGTTCCTGAAAAAACTTTTTTCATTAATTTTCCATATCTTGACAATAATTTTAACCAATTATCAAAAAGACTTTTCAAAAAACACAATATTCGTATTACTTTTTCTTCATTAAAACAATTAAAATTTTTATATTCCAAAATTAAAGATGAAACTCCATTAACAAAAAAGAAAGATATAGTTTATAAAGTAAATTGTTTGGATTGTAATTGCTCTTATATTGGCCAGACCTGCCAGAACTTAGAAAAGAGACTCAGACAACATGAATTACAATGTGAAAACATAGATAACAAAAAATTTAAAAGTACACTTGTGGATCATGCTAATATAAACAACCATAAGTTTGATTTTGACAATCCCCAAATTTTATTCCATGAGAAAGACTTAATTAAACGGAGCATGGCAGAATCAATGTTAATAGTTCGGACTAACAATAGCATAAATCTAAGAACCGACACAAATATTTTACATGACACTTATATAAACATCATTAATAATTTATAAATTTTTTCATTTATCTTATTCTTTTCAATGAATTAATTTGTTTTTTCATTTTTATCGATTTTTGTATGCGACAGCACTCCTTTTGTTTACATTATAATGATACCTATTCTGTCTCCATCTAGATAAGTACTTCAAATTTGTTTAGAATATTTCTGTAAGTGTTATATGTTTCTTTAGTACTGTGTCAAGCATTGCAGGGAATAGTTGGTGTTTTTTGTATATCAAAAATTAAATGAAATTTAAATAAATTATTAAAGAATGTGTAGTATATAAGTAACTGTTTTTGAAATTACACTGAAGATGAGACACACCATGGTCTCGAAACGTCTGTAATCATAAAATAAAGTTGTGTTAAACAAATCTGAGTGCTGTTTTGTTCATATTAAACAATTAATATATATATATATATATATATATATATATATATATATATCATTCACAAAATATGCAGTGACAATCTTATCGCTTCAAACATTTGAGAGAGTTTACATAGTAAGAGGTACGGAATGAATCCATCTGAGGATATATTTCTTACGATTAGAATAGCTCATTTGAAATACATATATACATTTTCAAACTGAATTGTAATTTAAAATTCATATTTGAAGTATAAGACATTGTATATTATTTGAAATTTTGAAAAAAAAATCTGAAAATTTTGAATTTGCTTACACTTTTTACACAATTTGTTAGACCGTAAAAGAGAACTTTAAAAATTAGCAATCTTAATACGGAGCCCAACAAATTTATAACAAAATTAGCTATCATTTGATCAATTCTTCATTTCGTCAATACAAGTAAAATGTTTTTTGAATCATTCAAATCGGGTACTCCGTCCACCAAAAACCGTAATTCAACTGAATTACCGTTTTTGGCACTTTTTGCACCGTATCTTCGAAACGGCTAGATCTGCCTTTGCCAAAAACTAATCAGCACGTCATCTCACCAATATGAATCAAATGTTGACTCTTGTGCCCGAAATCGTGGACGAAAAATTGTACTCAAACATACACACACACACGCACACACATACATCCATTTTTCCAAACTGTGCCAACATGTTCAGAAACCTTCAAAACGTGAATATATGCAAAAAAATTCATTTTTGACTTTTTTGCTATTACTATAACTTACCCTACGGAAAGTTAACTAGCTGAAGTAGCATTTTGCCTTAAAGCAAGTTGCACAAAATTTTCGACATGAATTAATAAAAATTGAAATTCAGTTATTTAGGTAAAATGTTATATGGAAAATAAAATTTTCACTTTCACTAAAAAATAATCTATACGATTTCCAATTTATGTATTTCAAACATACTTACAATATGTGTAAATATATAAATTAGATCAATTTGTTTAACGTATTTTATTTCATCGATTTCGTCTTATAAAAATGTATTATATTCATGTGCGGAAGTAAAATGTAATCAGTCGCTACCAATGTAAAGCACGTGCATATGCTTCGGCATAAATTTTGATTAGAATTGTTCAAACATAGCAGAATTCTAAACTATGGTTAATTTTTATAATTTAACTGCTTATCGTAGGCCTGTAATATTTTAGTACGTTATTCCAGACTATAAAGATTATCGTTATACAAAGTTTCATCATAATAGTAAAAAAAATTCACCTATTCAACTAAACGAATATTGATTCCCAACCAATATCTTTGGAACAGTTTTTGAAATTTTAAAATCCTTTAAAAATTGTGGGCTGAATGTAGACGAAAATTTTCACAATTTTTACTAATTGCAAAGAAACGATTGTCGCACAGAACAATGATAGTCCTCATTGAGAAACATCGAATGGCTTTTAAACTTTTGAAATGGTTTAGCCGTTTTTTGAGAAAACGTCGATAAATTATCAAAAATCGACTCACATAGACACACGGACTCACACACACACATGTTTCTTCCAAATTTGGTTTCATTCAATTCAATATTAATTGACAAGTTGAGAAAACAAAAATTAGCAAATCTTCTTCGGGAAATTAATGAAGTAAAATATAATCTAATAACTTCAAAATCTTTCTATATCAATGTGAGGCAAATCACAAAAATTCAAATAATTATCTCACCTATAGCAAAGCATAAAGCTGCCAACAAGACATACATTCCAATTTCTAAAGATGATAAGTCTTCTCGTCGTGGACTAGATCTCGGCCTGGCAGATCTGGAAGTCAAGCCTAATCCCGATTGTGCCGAATCTCGTAATGGTATATCTGCAATGATAGTTTTTTTATAACATTAAATCATTAATATTATTTTAATATAGCACAAAAAATAACAAAAAGCAATACGTACTGATTAGAATGTCCTGCAAATCGTCCATATTATTTTGACCGCGACCTTTCCTTCGTGCTGCACTGTCGTTTTGAACCGCATCGGTCCTTCTGTTAGCTACAAAAAATATCACAAATAAAATTTCAACTAGTTGGAAGTGGCATTTGGCCTTAAGATAAGCTGCAATAAGTTCACGACATGTGTAAATAATCGACTTCGAAATCGATAATTAATCAATATATTAATTTATGAGTAATTTACCTGAGAAACTATTCAGATTATTCTATTTTGCACATTTTTTATTACACATTATTGAAAAACAAACACTTTCTAAAAGCTGCCGATGAATTCAAATTTTAACTAGACTAACTATAGTATTTGGACCATTAAGACCATGTACTCTAACGCCTATAAAATTTCATTAAAATCGTCAAAAAAAGTTTTAACGATAAAAGTTTTTCGATCTTTGTCAAAAACTAATTAGCACGTTTTCCAAATGATAATTTTCGAATAGGATTTCAATTTCCAATATCGATTCAGGCTTTTTGGCCGAAACGCAGATAAAAAATTGGGCATGCTTATGAAATTTCATTAAATGGCTTTCAGATATTTAAAATCGGTTTAGAAGTTTTTGAAAATTCTAATGTCTACTCACGTCGAAAAAGTGCTGCTCATTTTTTCAAACTCTGACGAATTTTGAAAATAAAATGATTTGTCGTAGGGCCGTAATGTTTTGGTATGTCTATGTTTAAAAAAAGTTTCATGAAAATCGTCAAAAAAAATCTACAGTTACAGTCGCGAGTCGGCCGATCTCCACTAAAAACTAATCAGCACAATTCTCAACCAATATCTTTCAAACGTTTTTTGGGTTTTTAAAATCAATTCAGAATTGTAGACAGTAACATGGACAAATTTTTTAACAGAAACTAATCAACGCGAGTCCTTCTCGAGTTATATCGAATGGATTTTAAATTTTTGAAACCGGTATCGGTATCAAACCGGTAGCGATGATAGTCCGGTTTTCTTACGTTTTGAGAAATGTTAAGAGCGTTGCATTTCATAGTTTGAGTAAAAATCAAGAAACGATTAGCTATTTGCATGTTATTTTACAAAGCATATTTGGTCGATATAATCAATTAAAATAATTTTTCTTCGGTAAGAAATGGATGAGAACTATTACAAGAAGAAAAATTACTACAAAAACATATTTTTTTTAATAAAGTCAATCAATATTTCGTCAAATATGTATTGGTTATTTTGATATGTTAATTATGTATATCAACCAAAACAACCAATTCAACAATTAACTTACCCCAGTGATTTACATCCCCAACATCGTTCTGTGCAAAATCCACTTGCACATCTACTGAAGCTTCTGCCAGAACTGCGCCGTGAGGCATTGGCGGTAGTGGAGTTCCTGGACGAGGATGCCCATTCAAAAAATGTCGTAATCTCGGCCTGCATTGCTCGTTCAAGAGTAACGTAACGCGTAGCAAATCCCCACTACCTGGAGTTTGAATTAAAGTATATCATATGTATTTTACTTATAAAAACTGATAATTAATATATTTAAAAACAGTAAAATTTATTATGATTCTAACTAAAAATCATTCTATTGACCTTCTCCAACAGCTATGACTCTTGGGTGAGAAGATCCAAGCATTGGCGCAAAAGCAACAACCTCAGAATCCAAACTTTGCACACGAAGTGAATACGCATCACGGTCAATGTCTCGTAGTGGTGTTACTGAACCATCAGAAAATACTACGTCCAGGTCCAGAAGACCCTGAAAATAAATACAAATTTACCCTAGTTAACAAATTCGCGGTTTACTATTGTAATTGTCATGAACATTTTTAGGCTTTTTTTAGCAGATAAAGAAACTGATAATATACTAATGTATCTGATGTTCAAACGACAATTTATTTACAATTCTGTAGTCATTCAACTAAAATTCAAATGCTGCTTTATAAAATACAAATGATTCAGGGTTAATAATAATATATGTAAAACAATTTTTTCATATTTTAACAAAATTTATTTATCGCAAATTTTTTATTTTCGAATTATATATAATATGAAACATGGTGAACAATCCAATACAAAATATTGTAAGCAACCAGTATTGAAAAAAAATCATATAAATTTTACTTATTTTTCCTCATATTTTAACAGCAATCAAAACCTTACGTCTTCTAAGCTGTTAGAATGAAACTTTTCCTTACGTCGTATTTTTAGATATTAACCAATCGATGATTACCATCCACATTTCATAATTTCATTATTAGAATTTTTCTAATAGGCCTGACTAATTATCCAATTTGATGCAGCCAGCATTGCCCGGGAAGGGCTATTTTCAATTGAAAACACATTTAAGATCTATATTTCCAAGTAAAAATTGATATCGCTTCTGCACGATATGGGGGTTGTCCGTAAAGGGACTATACACTGAAGACCCTTTTCATGGCCGATTATAGATGAGATAATAGATTATAATAAATATTAATACTATACCTCCTGATATTGAGCTGTTAGTTTTCTAGTAACGGAGGTCTCTGCAATGTACTCATCTCCGCCAGTGTTGGAATTGCCCGAAGAAGCCCAACCTGGAAAAAACATTAATATTAAATCTATTGAAGTAATATAATAATATACACTAACTTTTAAACCGCCAAAATTATATAATGAAATACGTATCCTTCAACTAAAGCAAATAATTATGAATCAGGTGTCAATGAATTATGTAAATCATTATAATTTATTCTGATAAGGCAAAACCATAAAAACGCGATTAAATTGCTTATTTTATGTCAAACTGTAAGTATCTTCATACTTGTTTATCTATGAGTATCTTTTACTATAAGCCAGTAAGATAAAACAAATTTATTTATAAAAAACGTTTGGTTTTGGATAAAATTGGGAAGTTTATTGAAAGATTGATTTACGATAATTCAGTCATTGTGGGATATTTCGTATTTATGCAAAGAGTCCATAAGTGAGTCACTCAAACAAATCAACATTGACTAAAGTACAGCTAGTTTTAATTTTATATTTTTTTATGCTCTATAACGAATTATTGCTTACTCGTAGTATTAGGTACAGGGAGCTTAAAGTTCCGCAGGTAAAAGGTCTACCTCCGGTAACTCGAAAACAAGTAAAGTCAAAAATTTGTCAATAACAATATTTGAAAATAGAGGGAAAAATTTGTATAACCAGCCATGACCTTGCTTCTTACAACAAAAAAAAGAAAATAAAGCATTTGGAACAAATATATTAAATAAATACTTATTCCAACTCTGCTGATGAATATTTGACGAAATACCAGATCATTGTTATATATCGTGTTATCTCTGTAAAAACTATACCCAAGAAATTCATATTTTGCATTGTTTGAATAATGTAGCTATTATATTGTAAGTGGTTTTTACAATATAATTGCTCGAAGTCAAATTGAACCTTTGTGTCTGGCCCTATCGTGTATCAATATACTACGAGATAATTTGGCCCTATTACTTAAAATATAGCGATCAAAATAGAGCAATATATGTCGATACCATTTAGAAATTCTTGTCCTTCGAACTATGCAAATATCAACGTTCAGGAATTTGATCTTCAGATGTACTTCGAATAAATATGTATATATATATATATATATACATTGAGGGTATTTAATTATATATATATATATATATATATATATATATATATATCTATATATATTTATCTGAAAGTTGAACATAAATATAAGTAATGACCGGATACATAACAGAAGAGAGCGCATCTCAAACAAATGTCTATGTATTACAAATTACATGCTGTAAAATGCGCCTATTGTTTTTATGGTAATAATATTTAATGCATGAAGCAATATTTCAAATCATTTGAATTTACATGTCAGAAGAACGCGACGTGCAGAAATGCATGCAGAACTGTATAGATCCAAACAAAATTTATAGGCAAGATAAATTTATCAAGCAAATTTTAGAATTTGCTTTGTTTTGCATTCTTCATACTATTATAATTACATTACTCAATATACAAAATTCTATTTTTAAGAATATTTAAATTGGCAGTTAAAATTAGAGCGCATGTGTTCACTACGTTAATAAGAGCTTGTGGTTCCGATATGCTTTAGCAGTAACAAACATTTATAAAAACAAATGCCTATTTATGCAAACAATTAATTAAAAATTTGTATTACAATTCATTTATCGTTGGCTGTGTTCGGACGTATTCTCATCTAGACGGATCTTCATAGCTTTGCGCTTTTGTATCGAAAGGTTGCTACCCTGAAGAGGGCTAGCGTAGATCCAAAACTAAAGATCCAAACTAAAGTCTGCATAGTAACATGTATAATAAACAAGTAATAAACTAGTCGGTGTTGGTATTTTGCCTTGAGGCAAGTTATATGAACTTCCCGATATGTGTAAATAATCGACTTAATCAATAAAAAATAAATTAATTTATGGGTCATTAAAAGTATTCCGAGTGGACTAATTACACATAATTGATAAACGAACGAACACGGTAACTCGGAGTTTTTTCTAAAAGCAAACAATTTTCAAAATTAAACTACTTGTCATAAGGCAGTAATATTTAAGTAAGTTCTATAAGGCCATGATATATATATATATATATATATATATATATATATCCCCAAAAAAGTTCCATAAAAATCGGCTTCAACAGTTAATCACAAAAAAACGACTCGGTAGATTTTCACCTAAAACTAATCAGTATCATTCCCAACTAATATCTTTCGAAATGTTTTTTATTTTTTAAAATCGATTTGGTAGTATGAGCTTAAATGTGAACGAAAAGTTTAACACTTTTTTCCAAATAACAAAAAAAGAGCTTTGCAGATCGGCGCACAAAACTGACAAACGATAATCTTCATCGGATACATCAAATGGCTTTTAAATTTCTGAAATCGGGTCAGGCGAAAGGTTGAAGGTCTAATTTTGACAAATGCCAAAAAACGATATTAATTTTTGCAAACTTTGGCGAATTTTTGGAGTTAAACGAGTTGTCGTAGGGCCGTAATATTTCAGTATGATCTATAAGACTATGGTATCTATCGTCAACAAAAAAATCATAAAAATCGTCGAAAAAAACTATCAATAATGATCTTTAATATTTTTCAAATAGTTTTTGAATTTTCAAAATCGATTCAGAATTGCGGGCTAGACGATAAATTTTTCATTTTTCTGCGATTTACAAAGAAACGGCTTGGTTGATCTTGGAGCAAAATTGATAAACGCTAGTTCTCATCGAGATACATCGAATGGCTTTAAAATTTTTGAAACCGGTCCAACCGTTTTTGAGAAAGCGTAAGTTACAGCAAAAAATCTGTAATTCGATTCAGAATGGCTTGAAACGTCGAGAAAACATAAAATTAGCGAATCGGATTTTTTGATGAAACTTCTCCTTCGGAAAGTTAATATAATAAAATCTTCCATCAAGTAAAACTTAGTGGCAAATGAGTATAGTAGTTAATAAAATCTTTGCAACAAATGCATAACTTATACTAACGAATCAGTGTTTTATACACCACTGTTACAAAGGTTAAATTATAACTTAACAACCTGAGATATCGAGGGAGAAACTTTTATACACGTTTACAAGCTGCTTTCATAAAAAATTCAAAAAAATATTTCTGATTAACTTAAGTGATTTCTCATAGTTTCACAACTTCACGTAAAGTGTAGTGTGCAATAAACTGAATCGTGTGTAACAAAAAGTATACCTGACTTTAGTAATTTTAGCGTAACTATAATTTTAGTTATTTTAGAAATAATAAAATAGCCAATAATTAGTAAAAATAGTTTTTCTATATTCACGCACACACACACACATTTAGTACAAATATAAGTGAAATATTACATTGCATTATTAGAGTTATTAGTATCCTATTACTTTGACAACTTATGATTTATAGATAATTAAGGTTATAACTAGTAGAAAATATAAAAACAATACATTGTTTCACTTTTCAATATTTACAGAAAATAAACTCATATTACTGTATAATATTGTTTTAAGAAATGGTTTCAAAATTTGTATAAAAAAAGTCGTTTTGTCCTTAACCTTAAACCCACGCGTTCTATACTAGACAAACTACTCATGTATATTGAAAAGACAATCAATGAACTATTTTTTATTAATACTTACTGTTTCCTGAATCTGACGCAGCAGAAACTCGAAGTTGCAATCCTGATACAACATTTGCTCGAAGACCTGCGATAGCAACTCTATCAGACGCCACACGCACTTCCCTCGCGCCCATTACTCGGCCAGTAACAGGTGAAACGGCCTGCACTTCACATCTGCCAGCAGATAGGCCCTGCAAAAATATAATGATTTTATTATAATTAGTTTTCCATATTCGCACAAATCGTGACAACACATATATTTTTTAGATTATTACATACATACGAAAAATGAAGAAATAGAAATTAAAGCATACGTTGCATAATGATTACGTAGTAAGAAAATCTGATTAAGCAAATATATTTATAGGTATAATATATAATTATTAAAATATAATATAATTAATAAAATAATTAATATTAATTAATAGTAAATTAATATCTTCACTAAATATGACTTAAGAATAATATTATTTCTTTCATAAACCTTTAATTTCATTTTAATATTTTAATTTTCCTTTTAATGTTTATTATACACTATAGACTTACTGCGATAATTTATATTTGATTGATTTAATCAGCAAATATTCTAATACTTGTTAAATATTCAAAGAAATCACTGCTTTCAACCTGAATTTTTAGACGTATATTAAAAATCATGAATTATTAGAATACAAAGTTATTATTAGGCCGTCAGAAAAATTCATTTCGTTTGTATTTGAGAGCGCCAATAATATTTAATGCATAGAATTTTCAGTTAGAACCAACTTTCAAACACTACGTATATAAGTTTGGCAGCTATTGAGCAATTGGTCAGGGAGTAAATGCATTTAGAGTGAAGCTACTTTTGTTGTTTTGAAGATAGTGGATAACAAGGATTTTTGTATGTTAATGAAACATTACTTTCTAATGAGAAAAGGTGTGGTAATATCAAAAAAATCCGGCTGGATGGCCGGATATGCACCGATAGGCCCATTAGAAAGTTTTGAAAAATTCCGCGCAGGCTATATGAGTACAGGAGCCAGTGGACGTCAAGAAGGGTAGATACCGACGTAAACATAAAATAATTTTCAATAGTTTTCAATAATTTTCAATGCTTCAATAAAGTGAAGTTAATCGAGTTAGCTGAAAATCGATATGACAAAGTTCTGTACAAAATGTCTTACGCGCGAGCTTACATTTGATCAAAAGCAACAAGTAGTTGATGATTTGGAGCAGTATTTAAAGCTATTAAAGCAAAACAAAACTCGGTTTTTGAGTCGATATGTATCCGTGGATGTAATCTTGCCTCATTTCTACACTCCGGAGTTCAATAGATAGTCAGCCTAGTGAATTGGACGCGGTTAACGAGAAAAAGCGCAAACGATCAGCTGGAAAGGTTATGGCGCCAGTTTTTTTAGATTCGCAAAGCATAATATCTATCGACTATCTTGAGAAAGAAAATACCATTAGCAGCGACTATTATAAAAAGTTATTAGCGCCGCTGAAGGTCGAAATCAAAAGAGTTTCTGAATCTTCGTCCAGAATAGAAGTTTCAAGACGACGATGCACCATGTCACAAATCATTCACAACAATAAAAACAATCTTCGAATTGGGTTTTGAATTGCTTCCCCATTCTCCACATTCACCAGATCTGACCGCAGCGATTATTTCCTATTCGCCGACCTCAAGATAATGCTCGCCAGTCAGATATTTAAATCCGATGAAGAGTTAATGGACCAAACGGAGACCTATTTTGAGGCTAAAGACAAAACGTACTAAGTAATGGTGTCGAAAAGTTGGAAAATCGATATTATGGGTGTATCAACTTCGAAGACGACTAATGTCTCAAAAAATGTATTTTTTTACGGAACGAAACTTTCAGCCGTCGTGGTATTGAGCAGATATATATTTAGTTAACATCAATATATCGAAAATAAAATAACGAATCATTTCTATGAAAAAAATAAATGTTATAAATTTTAGTAAATTACAAATAAAAGGCTCTCCAGAATATAATAAATGATATCAAATTTTTAACTTACCAGAAGTGTTCGTCCTTTAAGTGTTGCAACTCTAGGATCTGATACTCTTAGTAAAGGCAGAACTAGATCAGTAACTCGTAACCATGCTCTCCTGCCTAAGAGGTGAGTGACTCGTCCCGAATCTGGATCGGCGGCCGAGAAGCGAGCGTGAACAGATACTGTGGTTTGTTGGTACCGAGCTCTGAAAAATTGAAATCAGATAATATTGCAATTTCTTATATACTCAGTTTATGAACTATAAATTAATTATATTTTATGTTATAAAAAAATGTTAATAGACCTATATGATATTTATTTCACAAAACTTCTTCTTCTTGACCATTGTTCGATTCTCTCAAGCGATCAAATAGAATTCAATATAATTAAATATATTGCAATTATAAATATTATATAAAAGATCGAATTCAAATATATTTACTGCTAATTACAAAAAAACGGGTTGGCTAATCATCGCTCGAAACTAATAAACACTATTTCCCATCGAGTTCCATCGAATGGCTTTTTAAAAAAGAAAATCCATCTATCCAATAACAGTTAACCAGCGCCATAGAAATACAAAGATATAGTTATATTTTATTATCACGATGACAACGACAACTCGTGGGTGCATCAAAATTTAATAACTAAATAATTTAATTATAAAACTAGAATTAACTTGTGGTGCATGGTATTGTGCCTTAAGGCAAATTGCTAAAAGTTGCCGAACCGTACATTTTTTAAAAGCTTTACAACTTTATGAAAACATTGAGAAAATTTGATTTAAGAAGTTTGAAATAGTTGAAATTTTTTATTTTTTTAAAGCAATCGCGCTGCGTAGCTATTTTAGAGACGACATGTCGAAGCGAGTAAGTGCTGCGTCTCAGTCTAATGGTTAAACATTATAAATCTTGGTACGAAATCCACAAAAATGTAAACAAAGAATGTACTTATTATTAAAAACTCTATAAAATTCAGCCATTTCTTTCTTTTGTTATCACAAGTAATATGTTTTTTGGATCATTCAAATCGGACACCTCGTTCTCTCAGAAATTAAATTACCATTTATGGCACTTTTACACCATATCTTAAGAACGACTGGACCTGCCTTGCCCAAAAACTAATTGGACATCTCCCCATCAAGAGGAATCAAATGTTTTTCGAATCATTCTAATTGATGGATCTGTGTTTTCAAAATTGTCGACGAAAAATTGTATCCGATACACACACATATATATATATATATATATATATATATATATATATATATGCATACATACATACAAACACACATACATCAATTTTTTTCTAAAGTATAAAAAAAATTCATAAGACTTTGAAACGTAAAGATAAACTAGTTGAAGGTGCATTTAGCCTTAAGGCAAGTTGCATGAACTTCCCGAAATGTGTAAATAATATACTTATTCAATCCGACTTTAAAATAAGCAATTTTATTTGTTTTTCACAATAATCTTTTATTCTATAAATTATTAAGAAATAAATATTAAATTAAAATAAAATAAATGAAAAAGTTTTTAAAAAAGGACTCTTCTCATCGAGACATGTTATATGCTTGGAAAAATTTTAACGAGTGAATTGTTTTTGTATATATAGATAAGGAAACACGAAGAGCTGTTTCGTTATTGGTCGAGAGACTGAGATAGAGATATTAGTGGCGCTTTGGCCGGCGGAAAAATTACGAAGCAGGGATATCGAAAATATATAGCTTGTGGATTTAAGCTGTAATCAATAGTAGTAAACTATTAATTATAAGAAAACGGCTCGGTAGATTTTCACCTAAAATTAATCAGTATCATTCCCAACTAATATCTTTCGAACAGTTTTTGATTTTTTAAAATCGGTTCGGTAGTTTGAGATTAAATGTGGACGAAAAGTTTAACACTTTTTTTCAAATTACAAAGAAACGGCTCGGCAGACCGTCTCACAAAACTGACAAACGATAGTCCTCATTAAGATACATCAAATGGCTTTTAAATTTCTGAAATCGGTTCAGGCGTTTTTGAGAAAACGTCGATAAAAGATCTAATTTTGGCAAATGCCAAAAAAATGATACTAATTTTTGACAACTTTGAAGAATTTTTAAAATTAAACGACTTGTCGCATAGCCGTAATATTTTAGTATGATCTATAAGACTATGATATCTACCGTAAAAAAAAATCATAAAAATCGTCGTAAATTTTTTTTCAACACTTTATTACAAGAAAACGGCCTGGCCGATCTCTACCAAAAACTAATCAGCACGATTCCCAACCAATATCTTTCGAACGGTTTTTGAATTTTCAAAATCGATTCAGAATTCCGGGCTTAAACGTGGACGAAAAATTTTTCGCTTTTCTGCTATTTACGAAGAAACGGCTTGGCTGATCGTCGTGCAAAATTGCAAACGCTAGTCCTCATCGCGATACATCGAATGGCGTTTAAATTTTTGAAATCGGTCCAGCCATTTTTGAGAAAACGTCGATTTACGGCAAAAAATCTGTTCACACACACACATACACACACACATACTTTTTCCAAATTTGGTCTCATGGCTTGAAATGTCGAGAAAACATAAAATTAGCGAATCGAATTTTTTGATGAAAACATAAACTTCTCCTTCGGGAAGTTAATAAAAATATTCATTTTCAATTTTTTTCTATTACTATAACTCACTCTAAATTTTATCTAATTAAAGTTGCTTCGGATTCTATCTAAATAACATCTTCTCCAAAGAAAACAAATACACGTTTTAATTTACCCACCTGCACTGTGTTCTCTCCTGATGACCGTTTCCGTGAAGTCCGTTGTTCCAGGCGCTCGCTCCGCGTCCGTCCACATCCGATCCGAAAGAGTACGATCGTTTCCGGCGTCTTGCATTCCGGTACCTGCCGGAACCGGAACCCAAGGTTGATTTGATAGAAGGCGCGCTGTGAGAAAAATACAGACTGTGTTCCGGCGAAAAAATCAACGTTCGACGAATATATTTTCACAATAAAACCAATTCCGTGTTTTTGTTTTAAATTGGTAACATTAGTAATTAATATACAATAGTGTATTTGAATAGTTTTTGGTGACATTCAATCGATTTGTTTCAAAATTGAAGATTTTTGTATGTTTGTTGCGTGTTCATTGGTGGGAGAGCGTATTGGCGTTCGAAGAAGGTGCATAACCAAGTTGGTAACATGAAAATAAAAGAGAAAGAAACACTAATATTAATATAAATTATATAAAAATATAATAACTTATAAATTAAATATATTAAAATGTGCATATTGAAATAATAAAATTAAATCGTGTTAAAAGTTCAATTGCTAAGTGTATAAAAATTTAGACACCCGAAGATATTTTGTAAAAGAATATTAATGTTTAAATCACACACACACCATATATATATATATATATATATATACATATATATATATATATATATATATACATATATATATATATATATATATCTTGATAGTTATATATATATATATATATATATATATTGATTGTTTCTTTTCCGAACAGTAAATCCAATAATAAAAAACAATTTGTTTTTTGAAGATGTTTAATACGACGTTTCGGAACTAGGTACGTTCCATCATCAGGTTTATTCTGTCAAATACAATGTTTTTTAAAAATATTGATTAACATCAATTAATGATGGTCAATACAGATTAATTAGAAAAAATTTTTATAAAGGAATGGATTATGTACCGGGGTAAAGAGTAATAAGAATTAACTAAAAAAGGTTTTATATAAAATTGAGAAGCAAAAATTATTTACCTGTAATAATTTATATATCCATCACTAATATTTTTTTGTTAAAAACACTCGATTTTTTTGGAGGATATTTGTAGATGTTACGACCACACAAGACTTAAACACACTGATATGGAGTTCTGTCGGCCAGATGTAAAGGACAACGTACGGAATTCCTGGCAAAAATGATTTTTTATGGCTATGTACGTTGTCCTTTACATCTGGCCGACAGAACTCCATATCAGTGTGTTTAAGTCTTGTGTAGTCGTAACATCTACAAATACCCTCCAAAAAAATCGAGTGTTTTCAACAAAAAAATATTAGTGATATGGATATATAAATTATTACAGGTAAATAATTTTTGCTCCTCAATTTTATATAAAACCTTTTTTAGTTAATTCTTATTACTCTTTACCCCGATACATAATCCATTCCTTTATACATTTTTTTTCTAATTAATCTGTATTGACCATCATTAATTAATGTTAATCAATATTTTTAAAAAACATTGTATTTGACAGAATAATCCTGATGATGGAACGTACCTAGTTCCGAAACGTCGTATTAAACATCTTCAAAAAACAAATTGTTTTTTATTATTGGATTTACTGTTCGGAAAAGAAACAATCAATATATTGAAAAAATCCAGGACTTATCTATTGAATATATATATATATATATATATATATATATATATATATACTGAATATTTCTAACAACATGTAGCGGATAACACAAAATGCTAATTTAGGTTTCCATATTTTAAATTTTAAATTATAACACACTGATGATGAGACAAACCTAGTCTCGAAACGTTTGTGAAAATTATTATTTAATAAAATAGTGCAAAAAAAAGGGTTGTTTGTTCATATTTCCAAATTAATATCTATATCCACTCAGAATACATTTGTTATATATAATATATATATATATATATATATTATATTATATTATACAGGTAACCCCCGTATAACACGGCAAATATGTTCCAAAAAACTAGAGCGTTTTGTGAATCCGTGTTATACGAGACGGTACAAAAAAAGAAGTTACGTTCCAAGAATTGATTTATAATAAATATCGTTATATTTATTAATTGTTTGAAAGAAGTAATATATATTACATAAATAATATGATTCAGTCATAATTAATAAGTAAGCGCTATCCAACATGATCATAATTTTGTTAGATATCCTTATCCTCTATGCAGTTTTCTGTACTACTTCCAGATCTATGCATTATTTTTTGCAAAAGAATATATTTGCTATTTATTGCCTTTAGCAAAAAGATATTCATATAATTACTACATGCAAAGTTATCTTCATTAAAATTTTATGCTCATTTTATTTATAGGATCTATGTTTAAGACTAATTGTTCGGATAAGCCTAGAATTTTTTTCTAATAGAATAAGAAGTTTCAAATTAGTTATGTTTTTTATTAATTTTATCACATTTATTAAGCTATTATACGGAGATTTTACAAATTTAATATTGAATAAAATTATTTTTTATAGGTTTTGCTATATTTTTTATTTTATTGCGGTTTTTCTCAATTCTCTTACCGTATTAGAGCGAACTCGTTTTATAAAAGTACCGTGTTATGTGGGGATTACCTGTATATATATATATATATATATATATATATATATATATATACATATACATATATATATATATATATATATATATTATTCATATATATTAACACCAATTCAAAATTTGACTAATTACATATTAAACATATAATCTACTGCGTTTCTATAATTCAGGTAATTATCTCTAAATTATAATAGGGATGCTAAGGGCTACTAGGGCGTTTTTCAATAAGATCTGAAAAGATATTAAAATATTTTTTATCTTGATTAGACACGTAAATCGTCTAGTATAACATTGTCATAGTTCTGTTTCGCTTGCCAACGCAATAAAATGAACTATGTAGATCCGTCATTTTTTACAGGTGATACAAAATTATTCTATCATGAAATTTTGGTTTGCAGTATTAATGTCAACTAATTTCAAATTTTATATTTTTTATTTCGTTTTAAATATATCAATCTTTGACAATGTGTAACAAATTTTGTGATTGCCAAGCTATTTAAGTTGAAACAAATCGTTGGGGCTAGTTGTAGCTTGCAAAAATTATATACAGATTCAAATGAAGATGAATTAATGATATGTATAGTTTGCAAGATATGAGCACATGTAAATTGTGTTACAGGAGACACAGTATCTTGATACTGTACAACAGTATATTGATTTATGTAAATAATTACTTTGCATGTAATTCTGACTTAACATGTCAGAAATGTTCATAAAAATAAGTAAAGAATAAGTTATCAGGGGTATTATTGTCGTTGCGCCTTGGTAGACCTTGCAACAAGCCCCAAACACGAGTTAAGTTGTAACACCGACTTTTTCTAGAAAATGATTATTTTTAAAATAATAAACAATACAATGAAATCATTGTTACTAGTTTGGTAAACGTTATATTAGTTAAAGCATCTATTCATGTTTATTTCGTATAACATAATTCGTAGATCATATAAATTTATTTTAAAAAAACTAGCTTCCGTTCATAATATCTACTATATATGTACAGATAAGATTAAATTAATTACACATATACGAGTGCATATTCAATTAATACGTGAAAATTATTTCTAAAATTCATTATAATTCTATATTCTATAATAAAGTTCTAATAATAAATTCCCTAACTGAGAAATTAAGCTTTTTAAATGGTCTAAATTTCTTTCATTTCATAGACATTAAATTATATTATGTATTTTGTTTTCTGAGAATTTGATTTTTAAAATATTTATGAAAATATAAAAGACATTAAAATTATTAAAAACATCTGACGGTTACAAACTGGACTTCACAAAAACTTCTTTATGCTTCTTTATTTAATAGATATATACATACATACATATACATATATATGTATATATATATATGCATATATGTACATATTTCCGCAGCAGATATACATTTCATTTCTCGTGTCTACGTTAATCCTCAAGCTTACTAGAAGCTTTACACAAGGATTATTCTAAAAAGCTCTCTGTGACATAACAGAACACAGAATTATTCATCAGAACTCGAGCGATGCGATTTACATTTTCTACAACAATCAATATATGATATGATTCTATGAAGTGTTATGATTTAATCCGACTTGAATAATACTGTCCCTTTGATAAACATTGGTAACTAAAGGCTGATTAAATAAAGTTTATCGATAGCGGATAAAGTAATCGTTGAAATACAACAATGTGAAAATCCATTCGACTATTAGTCAGCAGTTCTTCTGATATTCAAAATATAGTAGTAATTAGAAAAACTCATGTAGTGAATATTGGGAAGAGCGGGGCTTATAGGTCCGTGGATTAAAAGATTCACTGCTGATATCTCAAAAACAAGTAAAGTTTTTTTTATTATTATATTTTTAACAGCAATCATAACATTACGCCCTATGAGCTGTAGGGCTGAAACTTCTTCTTACTTCGTATTTTCAGATGGTAACCCAATGGTTAATCCATCCATATTTGATGATTTTTGTTATTAGAACTAATTTAATAGGGCTGACTTTTTTTTATTGGTGCAGCAATGCCGGGCAAGGGCTATTTTAACTTGGAAACATATTGCTATCTATATTTCCAAGTGAAAATCGTTGTCACTGCTGCCTGACAACAGGCTGCTCGAAGTGGGTATCGAACCCGGGACCTCTGAAACAAGTCCCGTCGCTCTTAACCGCTTACCTACGGGCGAGCCCTTGTAAAGTTAAGAATCATATCATATCTACCTCAAGTATCATATCTCATATTCTCAGGAACATTATAAAACACAAAACAACAACAAAATTTTCAGTCTATTGCCCGAATACTCAAACAGAATCCATCAATCAAGTGTGAAAGTTTTACCTGACAAGATCCGCATCGGAATCCGGTGGAACACGCCAACCTTTGACCAGGGCTAATCTAGGGTCTGCAACGGATACGTCTAACGGCGTATGAGGGGCCCAAACGCGGTAGCGAGCGCGACCCACGCGTCGGCCATAGGTCACGACTATCGAGGCGGATATTGCGCCCCTAGATTCAGAGCCGTCAAGGTAGACAGATGAACAAGATGACGATACCTGAAAATAATAGATGCAAGGTAACATATCTTAAGAAGTTATTTGAAAGAAAACTAGTCATGTATAGCCTCAAGAGAAATTGCTGGACTTCCCATACCATAATGAAATATTCGAGAAATCTCAAATGTTTTCAAATAGATACTGTAGCTTTCATTATTCGTGTGTTATAGACAAAATATAAGAGCTTATAAATTGAATGACGACTTTTATATGCTTACATAAAAAGTAAAAAAAATAAAACTTAATCAATCGGATTTAAATGGAGGATATTGTCTAATATTTGTAAGAATTGTATAAACTGAATTGCAAATTTAAAATTATTTATCTGAAGTATATAGATGACCTTCCAAAAATAAAAATATTTTTTGAAAATAAAAAAAATGTAATAAAAAAAACCTTTTCTCAAAAACAATCGTTTCGTCAGCACAAGCTGAAAGTTTATTGAATCATTCAAATCGGTTGATCTGTGTGCCTGAAATCGTGAACGAAAAATTGTATCCATACATACATACATACACATGCATTTTTTCTTTCGCCGTTTTTCTAAAAGTTTGTAATTTCGATTTTTTGATGATTACAATAACTTATACTACAGGAAGTTAATAAATAATACATTTTTATAATATAAAATACTCATTTGAAATCACTATTATTACAAAAACTAGTGGAGCGCATGGCACCTAGCCTTAAGGCAAATTGCTGGAACTTCCCGTACTAAATATTGCTATTTTTTAAAAAACGATTAACATTTTTGAAAAAAATTTACTTCGAAAAAACTAGATTTTTGAGAAACTATGAACTTGACAAAAAATTACTTTTTCTGAAAAAAAAAATGTTTTCTTCATTTTGACATCTTTTGGAATTTCTGAACTTTTTTTCAAAGCAATCGTACTGCTTTAACTTCATAGAGACAAAATGTCAAAGCGCGTAAGCGCCGCGTCGCCGTCTAACGGATAAACACGGGTACGGAACCCATAGGAATGTAAACAAAGTTTATACTTATTGTTAAAATCTCTATATAATATCTGATAATTTGATATGCATATGTCTAATGATCGTTTTTGATCGCCAAATGGCATTTTTTTTACTTTTTTTACTAGATCTCCGAAACCGCTAGACCTACCTTCATGGAAATTTGATCAGTTCTTCATCTTGTTAATACAAGTAAAATGTTTTTTGAATTATTCAAATCGGACGCTCCGTTATCTTAAAAACTGAGTTACCGTTTTTGGCACTTTTTGCCCCATATCTTCGGAATTGTTAGACCTGCGTTTGCCAAAAACTAATCAGCACGTCACCTTATCAATACGAATCGAATGTTTTTTTAATTATTCAGATCGCTTCATCCGTGTTCCCGAAATCGTCGACGAAAATTTGTATCCGAACACACACACATACACACACACACACACATACATCCATTTTTTCTAAGGTATGCCAAAATGTTCAGAAGGTTTTGAAACATAAAAATATATAAAAATTTTCATTTTCGATTTTTTTGCGATTGTTATAACTTACCCTACGGGAAGTTAATAATATAAAACCTGTATACTGAAGCTTCTACGTAAATCGGAATAAGTAGTTTAGTTTCTACGTCTTATATGAAAATTAGTCTAACTAGCTGTAAGTGGAATTCTGTCTTAAGGCAATTAAGGCATCGTGCCTCAAGGCAAATTGCTGGAACTTTCCGTACCAAAAATTATTATTTTTTTGAAAAAAATTTACTTCGAAAAAATAAGATTTTTGACAAACAATTAGACAAAAAATTACTTTTTTTTGAAAAAGAAAAAACATTTTTTAATTTTTTTTTTTTAATTTTTTTTTTTTGAAAAAAAATGTTTTCTTTATTTTGACATATTTTGAAAGATCTAAACTTTTTTTCAAAGCAATCGTACTGCTTTAACTGCATAAAGACGAAATATCAAACCGCGTAAGCGCCGCGTCGACGTCTAACGCGTAAACATTGGTACGGAACCCATAGGAATGTAAGCCAAAATTATACTTATTGTTAAAATCTCTATAAAATATCTCATAATTTGATGTGCATATGTCTAATGATCATTTTTGACCGCCAAATGGCATTTTTTTTTACTTTTTTCATTAGATCTCCGAGACCGTTGGACCTGCCTTTATGAAAATTTGATCGGTTCTTCACCTTATCAATACAAGTAAAATGTTTTTTGAATTATTAAAATCGGACGCTCCGTTCTCTTAAAAACTGAGTTACCGTTTTCGGCACTTTTTGCCCCGTATCTTCGAAACGGCTAGACCTGACTTCGCCAAAAACTAATCAGCACGTCTCCTTATCAATACGAATCGAATGTTTTTTGAATTATTCAAATCGGTTGATCCGTGTTCCCGAAATCGTCGACGAAAATTTGTATCCGCACATACATACACACACGTACATACATACATACATACATACATACATACATACATACATACATACATACATACATACATACATACACACACACACACACACACACACATACATCCATTTTTTCTAAGGTATGCCAAAATATTCAGAAACCTCTGAAACGTAAAGATATATAAAAATTTTCATTTTCGATTTTTTTGCGATTACTATAACTTACCCTACGGGAAGTTAATAAACTTTTGGAATTATTATAACCTGTTTTCACACTTTTTGGGGTTTTAAAGATGATTTAGATCCATAAAGCTTAATTGATATAAATTAAAGTACATGTATTAGTGAATCAATATAAAAAGAAAGTACGGACAAAAGTGAGTTGGTATTTTGTTTATTAATAATTTTTATTTACTTAATGATACTATAATCAGTCTCAATCGTTTTTACTCATGTTAGGTTTATTGACTACCAGTAACATAGTCATTTTATAACATAGGAACCATATATGGAAGGAGAAGAAATACAGGGCTCAAAACGGGAAAGAAAATCTCTGTAATAAATGCAAGTCACTTCTTTTTATAGGTAGGTAATTAGGTACTTTTTTTAAAGTTAGAATAGAAGATATAAGCCAATAAAATTTGGCAAGTTTCAATTTCTTTTGCTTTCTCCAGAATGAACTACCCCGTAGTGCTTGCGAAATAATAGTATTGCGCATTAGTATGCCTTTTTGTTCGAAAGTGAACAAAAATGAATAATCAAAATTTCACCTGATAATGGTAATAAGATGGTATGAAACCATTTTTATTATAATTATTCGATTTAATTAGAAATGATTACAAATAACAAATAAGTGCCCAAAAAATATGAGAAAACCACCCTCAAAATAAATTTCTGAAGACGCGTTACATTTTTGAACTGATTACTCCGACAGGGCTGTGACAATGATAGTCAACATCTGACAAGATGATGGTTATAGCTTTCTTCATGTCGCAAAAACGTTAAACTAGTCAATTTTCAAATAGCATATATGCCATTTTGTCCGGCAATTTAAAGCAGACATTTGCTTATTGAAGCCTAAAATTTTAGTAATCGCTGTTGAAATAGCTTCACAAAAAATAAAATTGGCAATTATAATTGCCGGAATTGAATTGCGTTATAAAGTACTTCATTATTTACATAAAATCCTTCACATTGATTAATAAAATTTTGCATACGATATTTAATTAGAGGTTTACATTACAATTAACATATCAAAATTTTAAAGTAATAATTGTTTTGGTTGCTAACGTTGTAAATAAAATGACATTGAACCAGTTTATTTGTATAAATAATAGTTACTTAATTACTATTGTTATGCTAGATCACTAACTTCAAACGGTAAAAAAATTATGGTAAACTCTATGGTTTACCATAATTTTTTCGTGATTTAAATTGTAAACTCTATGGTTTACCAAAATATTCGTGATTTAAATTGTCCTTAATACAATTCTTACAATAGGAAACAACCACTAAGCATGTTAGATGTATTTAGCAGTAAGCTTTACAACTAGTTGGTTTTGGATATTAATGGTAAAAACAAAAATATTTAAAAAATACAAAATACTTTAGGTGTAAATACTACATGAAATCTAAAGATGCTGTTCTAAAAATGTCCGCACGTGGATAATGCCATATCTGAAATAATATATTTTACGATAACCCTGCTATTATTTTGAATGGCTTATAGGTAATATCAAAATTTACTGTTTGGATAGGAGGGTTCCGATATAATTATATGGCATGATGAGATTGCATAACAACGAGTTTTAATAATGTTATAAACCGAAAATACAATCGTTTAGTATAACACCCATAAAACCATTTCGCGATATATTCTCATGTAGTATTCATAGATGACATGCATTTTTATTCACATAATTCATATTTTATTACTTATATTATAGAATTATAAAGGTATTTCATCTTAGAATATGAATATTCACCAGTGTAATATTTTTACAAATTTTATTTATTTAATAATATAAATTCATTGGATTTATATTTCATAATTAAATGCTTCTCCAAACTTCAACTTATTATTAAAATTATAGTATTATTTTACAATAATAAGGGGCTCGAAATTTAACATATGCTTAAAGTTCTAAAAAATATGAGATATGTATTTCAAAATTATAAATAAACTGGAATTTTCATACCGTAATTTAAAAATTTTATTTTTAAAATATTTGAAAAAATTTAAAAAATTTGAATATTTAAAAAAATCCCTTTCTTATAATAATGATATTTTTTTAAAACTTGCAAGTATTTTGAAAACTGAAATGTTTTGCCCATTCTTGTCCGTTGATCCAGACTGTCGAAAATATCTGATTTTCCACAACCAAATGGCATTTTTTTAAACTTTGTTTCTGATTCACTTAAACCGCTGGACCTGCCTTTGCAAAAATTTAATCAATTCCTCATTAAGTTGATACAAGTGAAATATATTTTGAATCATCAAAATCGGATGCTCAGTTTTCTCACAAACATAATTGCCATTTTCTGCACTCTTTGTTCCTGGTTTCGAAACAGCTAGACCAACTTATGTCATAAACTAACCAGCACGTCTAATAATTCAAATTCAAAACGCTCAAAAATTGAATCCACACATGCAAATATATATACGAGGTGTGTTCAAAAAGTACCCGGAATTTTTAAATTTCGCGGGTCTGGAGTGTCTGATTGTCAAATTTTTTTTTTTATTGTGTTGGTATACATGCCCCTAAAGTATGATGAAATTTTCAGCTATATTCACTGTTTACTTTGTCTGTGGTAGACGCTAAGTTCGACGTGTTTTTCTGAGCTCGGCGATTTTTACAATGGAAGAATTGAAAAGTCAAAGAATTTGTATTAAATTTTGCGTAAAAAATGAAATAAAGTGTAACAAAGTGTGTGAAATGTTACAAAAAGCCTATGGTGAGTCTGCTATGAAAAAAAACAAGTGTTTACGAGTGGTATAAGCGTTTCCAAGATGGCCGCGAAGACGTTGAAGATGACGAACGCTCCGGTCGACCCAGCACGTCAACAAACGATGAAAATGTGAAAGAAGTGGAAAAAATGGTTATGAATGATCGCCGAATCACAATTAGAGAAGTTGCTGATGAAGTTGGCATATCAATTCATTAACAATTCATGGCTGTTGCACCACGATAACGCACCTGCTCACTCGTCGTTGCTTGTTCGTAATTTTTTGGCCAAAAACAATACCGTAGTCATGCCCCAACCTCCATATTCACCAGATATGGCTCCGTGTGACTTTTTCCTATTCCCAAAGTTGAAGAGACCCATGAAAGGACGGCGGTTTTCCTCGATTGAAGAAAATCGCCGAGAGTGCTCAAGGACATATCAAAAAGTGAATATCAAGGGTGCTTCGAAAATTGGAAAAAACGCTGGCATAAGTGTATTATATCTGGGGGGGACTACTTTGAAGGAGACCACATTAATGTAGACGAATAAATAAATATTTTTTTGAAAAAACGAAAATTCCGGGTACTTTTTGAACAGACCTCGTACATCGATTTTTTTAAGGCATGTCAAAATGTTCAGAAACCTCTAAAACGTAAAGATATGCAAATATTTTCATTTTCAATTTTTAGACGATTACTTTACTATACTATACGATACTAGAAGTTAATTAGGCTGTGTTTTTAGTTGACAAATTTAAAAAAAAAATCATGCGGTTAAAATTATTTATGTTGGAAAATGAAGTTTGTTTAATTCAATAAGGATAAATCACAGTTTTTCTGAAAACATAATTTCGAATACAATTTGCATGAAACTTCAATACTACAAACTTTGTGTAGTTGCACTTTTTCAGCAGCACATACCAATGTCAAATATAGTATGTTTCTTTGAAAAATGAACTCATAATATTCTTTTCCTGACGCAATACAGTTAAGTGTTTATTTTTATGGCTACTGTTATTTTATTTCGGTCACAAAATATCTAAAATACTAACGTTTACGGCATCAACATTGACAAAATACGACTATATACATGTGGATTTATATATGGTATTTGAAAATGCCAACAAAACGAGACCGGTTTATTACCCCTATGCTGTAATATATTTGCTGGAAGAAAAATAAATGTAATTTTATTATTTAATAGGACAATATAACTGATTAATCTATTTTATGTGGCGTAGATAAAATATGTTTCGGATTTGAAAACTTGATATATAAGGTTGTCAAATATCTCCCTTCCGCCTTTTTGTATTATAAACCAAGAGCAAAAAAGCGAAAGGGAGATATTTGACAACCTAATATCTTTATATTAATAATAAACAAAACTTTTTTAGCATATATAATACATCATGTTGGCAACTAAGTAAGTAAAAATTTCTGTTAGAATCAAAGAAATTTATTTTCATAGAACTAAATAATTTTATTCTAATGTATTTTACATTTTGATCAATGGCCTTTTGTCACCTCTCAAGCAGCATCATAATCCCACTTTCGTAAATCTTCTAGTTTTTTATTATTAAAAAACTTCGAAAAAAACAAATTTCAACACTTTATTACAAGAAAATGGCCCGGCCGATTTCTACTAAATACTCATCAGCACGATTCCCAACCAATATCTTTCAAACGATTTTTGAATTTTCAAAATCGATTCAGAACTGCGGGCTAAACGTAGACGAAATTTTTTTCACTTTTCTGCTATTTACAAAGAAACGGCTTGGCTTATCGTCGCGCAAAATTGATAAACGCTAGTCCTCATCGCGATACATCGAATGGCTTTTAAATGTTTGGAATCGGTCCAATCGGGAATTAGATACTATCGATCACCTTTTCGATATGTCAATTCAGGCCTACTGCTCATTATTTATTTTTGTTAGCTGTTCAATGTAGACATCAGAATTAATAGTTCATTTGGTGAAACTGGAACTTTTTGTTCAGTTCGTTTTATTATTAGGTTTCGTCACCACAGAGAGTGCATGACTTTTTATCCTTACAAAAAAAGCAAAATATGACAAAAAATTTCTATTTAATTTTCCACATCTCATCTAACGCCAAACGAAAACAACGTTATCGTTATCGATATCATTTTCATTATGTATAATAATCTATTTGATATTTCGGAAACGTAAGTTAAGTCACGATGCCATACACTACTGGTTTAATTTGAAATTAATGCTATATTTGTTATTAAATTGTATCTAAAATTCAACTTGAATGAAAAAATGGAAAATTTCGACTAAATGAAAACGGGAAAAAATATTTTAAAGAAAAAATACCTTACCTTAAGTACGCTTTCGTCTTGTGCCTGGCAGGAGCTCTGCAACGTGACGTCAGCGATCTGTCCAGCATGCGTCACTATAAAAACCTTCATGGGCTGCGACACCTGTCTACCGGTTAACATAGCAGTGTTAACTAATTCCCATTTCTGTGAAAAAATAAAAAAATAAAACATTTTATTACCAAATGTACTCAGTACTTTAGTACTTGATTCGGCTAAGGAATTTTTTTATGAAAAATATATTTCAAGAAATTGTATTCAATATTTTAATTACCTTTCACCATAATCATGATTATATTTTTAACTTCCCGTAGGGTAGTTATAGTAATGGGACGAAAATCGAAAATGAAAATTTTTGCATTTCTCGATGTTTTGAAGATTTCTGAACATTTTGGCTATATATTGTTAAAATATATTCATAAGCTATGTTTAAATGATTATGCAGTATTGTGTTACATATTTCTGGCGATAAAAGCTATTATAAACTATTTTAATGGCTTTACCTATTGTTTTTCAACCTATGTTTAAAAAGCCTATCACAACCGTTCTGGTCTTGTATGATTTTATGGCCAATCCATCGTATTTAAAGACCGTATTTTAGTATTTCCAAGTAGACATATGTTCAAAATACCATTTAATTTCGGTACACAACCGAACCCAGTCTCCACTACTAGATACACTCAGAGGCTTGTTAAAAAAAATTAAATCGTTTTTATAATTTTTGGAATTGTTATAACTAATGTGCAATTGATGATATATATTGATGATTAATAAACGTGTTTCCTAATATTTCTAAAAGCTAATGTGAACACTTTTTGTGAAATTTTGAACTCAATTCGTGAAATCGTTAATTCAATATATTTCAGAATTTATAAATAATTAATAAAAAAAATCATAAGAATGATTTTTAGACAATTCTCTAAATCAGTTTATAATTTTCCATTTTGAGATATTTTTTATAGAAGTGCCAGAAAAATGAAGAAATAATTTATTAAATTATTTGGTAATGTAAGTATTTTACCTCACCTTAGAAATTGGTAGAACAGATTCAATATCGTCTTTCAGAATTTCCAATTTTGCAGTCAATTTTCTCCGGTTGCTTCCTTCTTCACGTTCAGCATCCCGTTGACTACCATCTTTGCTTTTTGTACTTGATGCGCTGGAAGCACTAGTTTTGTTTTGGGATGGGATATTAGATGATTCGGTGGCTTGATCTTCTTGACTTACATACGATGGCATTCCTTGAATAAAATAAACCAAAAATATTTTAAATTTAATAATAAATGATGGAATATAATAAAATAAATTTTGAAATTTCTATAAATAAATATAACAACCTTCAGTGCCTTCGTCTGCCTTTGAGCTTGTGTCTAAATATTTCTCTGTAGTAGAAAGTTTCTCGTCTCTTTCTGGCTCGTCATCAACATTTAGTTCTTCATCAGTAGGATACTGCTTCATTAGGACTTCTTCATCATCTATCTTCGCAGATTCCATTTCTACAGCATCTTCCGCATTCAGGATAGTCTTGCGTTCAACAACATGCCCTTCGTCATCTACTGAAGAATATCTCAGTTCTATTTTGTCAGATTCATGGTTATTTTCTCTGACATCTTTTTGAGGAACATATTTCTTATTTTTGGAAATCTTAGATTTGTGAGTAACTGTTTCGGCACTTGCCGTCTTGTCATTGTAAATTTCATCACTGTAGTCATCTGTTGCATCTGTTCCAAACTTCTCTGAGTCATTTATCTGACTCTGTTTCGTGGTTCCTGCTTCTTTTGCATGTGTATTGTCATAGTCCCTATCACCACTATTACGTCTGGATAAAAAGTGATTACGTTTTTTTCTTTTACTTGGATTTTCTTCGCTGGAATGTTCACTCGGTGACGTGTCGTCTGCAACACTGCCAGCATCACTCGCATAACGAACTGACCATGTAATTCGACCACCATCCCAAAGATCAGAGGAATCATCTGAAGCCTCTAGCAGCCATGAAAATACTTCTTGAACGCTGGAAAAGTAAAAGTTTATTTGAAGTAAATGATCGTTATAATGTATATTTAACGATATGAAACAATACGCGCGCTTTGTTAGTTTTTCAAAAAAGCTATTGATTATCCAAGATATCCACAATAACACTTTTAGAATGTGTCATTGAACTAAAGTTTGAAGTCCATCAGAGAGAAATCTGCATTATTATTACCTAGAGAAATTTGCAAAATGCTGATTTTTGTTCAAGGGTCGTATTTTTAGGCTTTACTCGAACGATCAAGCCTGATATAAGATGAACGACAGTAACAACACGATGGACCAAGCGAGATCTCAATATCAAAATGAAAGAAGGAAGTAAGTGTGATGCCGTTATGTCAATTTGAGAAAGTTATGTGGAAAAACTTTATGTGAAACATGTAGCAAAGTTGTTCCTCGCTCTTTCAATATACAGTAATGAAAAATAAAATTATAAAACTTCTTTACAAGCGCTTGACTTGATAAGTGAGTCAGTAACATTTTAAAGGTGGTCTTTCACTATAAGCAAATATTTAAGCGGGCTCAAAAAATCTGTCTTTATGTGTCAGCCCCCATATTCACTTTACCATAATGGCGGTGACGTCGATTTCGTCTTCGCCAAAAAACTCCGGATAACAAAGTTTTCTATAATAAATTACTTAAGAAGCATTATAAGGCCGTGGCATTAACAAAGCGCAAACCTATATAAAAGAAAAAAGAAAAACTAAATATCCATTTTGAATTCGCAATTCCGACGGTTACACATATAACGCGTGACGTCATAGACCGCCGGCAACTTTGGTAATTACTAAAGTTTTCGCTGGGAAAACTTTCTCATGTGGTTGTGAATACATGTATAGAGATTATATCAGGCATGACCACATTTCCTAACTAAAGGGCCGGGTTGCGGACCAGTAGTGCAATGCTCCGTAGAATAACTATGCAAAGTTATGAAATTTGCATTAAACAAACTAGATGCTTTTGCAACAATCATACAAAATTACTATAACCGAGTCGTGCATGTAAACTGCTGGATTAGATCAAAATGATTGTAGTTACTCGTATAGTGGTGCATCGCATGGTGCGTTAAGGCAAATTATTGAAACTTCTTGTATTGTGGACAAATTATATAAGATGAATAAAATTATCATTTTTATAAAATTTTAACAATTTACAACACTATTTCTAAATTCTTTTAAATAAATTAAGACAGGTTGAAAAAATTTGAACATCTTTGATAGTATTGAAAAATTTAATATTTATAATTTAAAATATTATTAATAATGAAATGTAAAATTAACAAAATTTTGAATTGCAGAAACTTAGATAATGATAAAAACATTAGGATTAAAATATAAATTAGAAGCCAATGGTTTTTAAACCATTCTAAAAGCCATCCTAAAAGTTCAATACGTTGAATTTCAGTCATGTTTTTCAATTTACTCTGGAGTAGTTAAAAGCTACACAAGAAGCTAGACAAAAATTATTCGGCGTATATGATAAAGATGACTTCGCCGGCGTCCCAACTATTTTCAAAAATATCAATCTAAATATTTTGAAGTCAAGTCTGAAGTCAAGTCTGAAGTCGAATTGGTAATGATAAACGTATTAGTTGTTGCGAACAAATAATGACAAGAGAAGTAAATTTATCAAAATATTATCACTTAAATCATTGGCTGTCTGTCATTTTAAACCCACTGGGATTCAGAACGAGAAATCAAATTACATTTCCAATAGAAGAAGCTTACATATTTACGGACCGCACGTTGACTACTTATATTTGATGCGCCGATGTAAAATCTTGTTTGTGTGATCGTGTGTCTGCACATTATTGACGATTTATTGCCCCAATGTAATGGAAAATAAGTATCCATAAAATTGAAAATCAAACATATTTCGCTTTTTCAAGATATGCAAAGATATGAAAACACGAATAGTTAATGTACTGAAAAAATCGCATCTATAAAAATTCAAGAACACATTTTCGTACTCGCAATATTGGTAATACGTTCATAATAAAATAAATATTATTTGATAAAAAGAATTATTATTGTTTAAGGGAACGTATATGTTTATCAATATTTTGAGAATAGAAAGGACAAATATTTCACTATTACGTTACACAGTGACTAGAAAACAACTGACGAGCGTCTTTTACGACTTGCGGAAGAAACTAATAAAGTGCTTGGCACTGTAAGGATCAGAGACACGGAGTCTAAGAAAGGCCGACAAGAACTATCTGGAAGGTTTTGAAATGTGGTGCTGAAAGAGAATAGAGAAAATAAAGTGGATAGTGGAAGATATAAAATGAAGAAGTCCTGAGAAAAGTGAGCATAGCCCTAGATTATAGGCATGGACGAAAACTCTCTGGGGAGTTCTGAAATGTAGTGCTTGAGGCCAAAGGAAAAAATAAAGTAGACAGGTAAGTTAACAAATGAAGAAGTCCTTAGAAATGTGAGCAACTGTACTGAGCCCGTTTATTAAAAGGAAAGGAAATTGTGTCAAACCCATTCCTCGATGAAATCGAAGAACTAAAAGCATTGGGAAGAAGAACAATGCAGATGGTTGATGACTTACGCGAGAAGGGGAAATACAGAAAACTAAAAGCCAAAACACAGGACCAGGAAGCATGGAAGCAGATGTTTGAAATACATAAAAGTTAATAAAAAGTGTTTAATAGTAATAAAAAAATATATTAGTAATAAACAAGTCTCACATCATGGATCTGCCTTATATTATTAATTATGAAAAAAGTAGTTGGCCTATATTATATAACATTAGTCAACGTTAGACCCACTAAACAGTTTTTGAACTTCGAAACTAAGCAATACAAGTCTTCATGTTTGTTCTTCACATTTTTAAGTTTTATCAAATATATATTAAATTTCTCATATCTGTCTAGAAAACGTGGATGAATAGACAAATTATGCGTTCTCACTCAGAAATTAATCAATAACTAGTGGTGTATGGCATCGTGTCTTAAGGCAAATTGCTGTAACTTCCCGTACCGTAACAAAATGTTCAAGGAATATTAAATGTTTTTGAATACATTATTATAAATACTGTAACATTGTCTAATATTTATAAGAATTGTATAAACTGAATCACATAGTGGAAATTATTTATTTAAAGTATATAAGTGAGTTTTAAAACTTTAGCCAGAATTAAAATTGAAATCTGAATTATTTTTGATAAAAAAAATTGAAATAAAACCGTTTCGTCAACACAAGCAGAAAGTTTTTTGAATCATTGAAATCGGATGCTTATTTCTCTCAAAAACCACCATTTTTTGTACATTTAGCTCTCTGTCTTCGAAATGGCTGGACCTGCCTTTGCCAAAAACTAACAACCACTTCTCCCAATCATTAAAAATTAAATGTTTTTAGATCATTCAAATCGGCTGCTCCATTCTATCAAAAACTCGATTTCTATTTTCTGCACTCTATGCTCTTTATCTTCGTAACGGCTGAACCTGCCTTTGCCAAAAGCTAATCAGCATATCTCCCTATCAATAGGAATCGAATGTTTTTTAAACCATTCAAATCGGTTGGTCCGTGCGCCCGAAAACGTAAACGAAAAAATGCGGACACACAAAACACACACACACATCCATTTTTTCTGAGGTATGCCAAAATCTTCAGAAACCTTCAAAACGTGGAAAAATATTCAAACTTTCATTTTCGATTTTCGGCCCATTACTATAACTATCCAACGGGAAGTTAATTACAACAATATTATGTTAATATATTGAAAATATGATAAATATGATGGCATGTTTGTAAATTATCCCCATTATTAATAAATTATTCACATTCATTTGATAAACTCAAATCATTCAATTAATGATAGTTGAAATATGGAATTTGAAACTGCCAATAATTCGCCGATATGATCATTACTGTAAACTAATTAAATAAATTTTGATTATTCCAATTTTATAAAAGCTAAAAACAAAAAAAATGTAACTAGTGATTCATGGCCTCGTGTCTTAAGGCAAATTGCTGGAAATTCCCGTACCGTAATGTTCGTACCGCACCATGAATATTAGAAGATTTATGGTTTCCAATCATTCTATCATAAATACTGTAACTTTCATTATTCACATATTGTAGACAAAATATCAAAGCTTATAAATTAGATGACGAAATGTTCGAGAAATATTAAGTGTTTTCAAATAGATTATTATAAATACTGTAACATTTGTCTAATATTTATTTATAAGAATTATATAAACTGAATTACAAAGTTCAAGTTATTTATTTAAAGTTTATAAGTGAGCTTTAAAACTTTAGCCAGAATTAAAATTGAAATCTGAATTATTTTCAATATACAAAAAAAAAGAATAGTGATTTTTTCCAAAAGCAATTGTTTTGTCAAAATAAGCAGAAAGTTCTGTGAATTATTCAAATCAGACTCTTAGTTCTCTCAAAAACTGCCATTTTTTGTACTTTCAGCTCTGTATCTCCTAAATGACCTGCCTTTGCCAAAAACTAATCAGCACATCTCCCTATCAATAGAAATCGAATGTTTTTAAACCGTTCAAATCGGTTGATCCGTGCGCCGGAAAACGTGAACGAAAAAATGCGGACACACAAAACACACACACACACACACACACACATACATTTTTTCTGAGGTATGCCAAAATGTTCATAAACCTTCAAAACGTCGAGAAATGTAAAAATTTTTGATTTCGATTTTTAGACGATTACAATAACTTACCCTACGGGAAATTAATAAACAATACTCAATCAAGCGGAGTTAGATTAGAAGACCTTACCTCATATTTTGAATTCAAGAACAAAAACTGAATTGCAAAGTACAGTTTTTTTTATTTCAAATATTTAAGTGAGCTTTAGAATTTTAGTTAGAATTAAATTTAAAATTGGAATCATTTTCTATATTTAAGGAAAACTTTTTTCGCAAAATATTTTTTTTTCAAATTTTGAAATCAAACATTGTTTTGCCTTCTCCAAAATCTATTTGGGACTAACACATTTTGAA